TACTTAGCAACAGAAGGGCGCCCTGTACGTTGGGCACGAAGTATAAAAATCTTGCATGGTTAAAAAGAAGGGCGCCGCCTACGTTGGGCACGATTTCCGCCTCATTTTTACAATGCGAATGCTCTATCTTGTATTTCTAGTATCTTTGCTTTGGTTGAGGGTCGTCCAGGGCCCAGGCTTAGTCACACAACGGCGGCGGTGAAAGGTGGTCGAAACAACAGCCTAAATAATAATAATAAGAATAGAGAAAGTAGAGCAACCATGTCCATGATGCCATCCTCTGTTTCTGCAACTAAAGTAAATCCAGACATTCAAAATGAAAGGAATAAAGCTACGTTTGATCCTATACATATAACATATTTAATAGACGAAGGAAAAGAAAAAACAAAGAGAAGGCGATACATTGGTAAGCTAGGCTAGCTAGGCATCTCTTCTACCTACTACTACTACTACTACTACTACTACTACTACTACTACTACTACTACTACTAGGCCTAGGCCTAGGCCTAGGCCTAGACTACCCGGGCCTAGGCTAGGCTAGTATTCTACTAATTCTCTAGGCCCTAGCTAGGGTCCGGGATAGCGACACACTAGGCCTAGTTGATTTGGGTTATCTATCTGGTCTGTGGAGACTACCTCCAGGTTCGGCAAGCTTGAGTAAGGTAGGTCTCTAGGCCTATGGGAAGTGTTTTTATGGTTTAGTTTAGTTTAGAAAATTCGCTGACGGCCGCACTTTGCCCACCTGTGGTTTAGGATGACCCAAGGTTGTGCTTTTCAAACACATTGGATCAGTATTAAAAACATTTTTCATCCAACGGCTTTGTTGTGTTGTGGAGTCTGTCAGATGACGGTATCCATTACTTGTCCCAAAGGGGGAAATTTCCCATGACCCCCTTCTGGCACCACCACTACTGATACCCCATACAGTAGGGCGCGGCCCATCTCAGACGATAATTCATGAAGAAATACTGTAGGCCTATATATCAGTTTTTAAAAATAAAAAATTGAAATCTTAACATTATATTAATTCTTTTCATTTTTAACATAACAGCTGTGATAATGGTTATATGGGGTTATGTTTGTCATCAAGATCAAAATGCAATGATTTAATTTGATAGAATATTCTTGTATGTATTTTATTTAGAGGAAATGAATTTTACTAATTTTATTTTATTTAAATTAATACTAAATACTAAAATATTTTTTACAAAGAATCTTTAGTTGAAAATGATCCTGATTTTCAAAACAAGCCTCTAGCATTTATGACAAGAGAGGAGCGTTACACTAATAGTATACGCAAAGCTCTTCTTGCAGTCAGAAAGATGGAAAAGCTTGGACTCACAGACCCCTGGGAAAAGCAGATCTTCACGAGGTATGACTACTTTTTGTAGACTTTATAATAAATTTTAGTGTATAAATAAGTACAATGCTGTTGAAAATAAATATTGAATTGAATGCAAGCCATCATGTTTTCCATGATAAATGTTATACCTTTTGCACTTTCCCTACATAATAATTTTCATTTTCAGTTTGTGAGTATGTTTGTGTGTGTGGGTGGGTACGCATAGTGTATGTGGATTGTTTTTTCGGGTTAAATTTAAACTAAAAACTGTAGAAAATCACTTGACTGTGGCATATAGACATTATATTTGCATATCTTTTTTTTTTTTTTTTGCATTTTAAAATACTAAAATATTAAAATATTATTATTTCAAGACTGTCCTCTCCTTAATCTCTGACCTTTAAAATCTACCAGCAACATACTGCTAACTATTGGCTTCTTTCAATGATAATTTACTGTAGACCTATAGTATGTATCTTGATATAGTGATATGCAGTCAGTAGCCTCCTACACTGTTTGAACAGGCTTCCAATGGCCTTTTTTATTTGTTGCAATGCAGGGTATTAAATCAGGAACTGATAAATCCTGATTTGATGGTAGGATGCTATTTTATACTGTATAATCATTAAAGTTCCCGTAAGGTTTGGAATTGGTGACATGCTGAATAAAAGATGCTGAGTCATTGACTCTGCTTTTTTTAACTTGTTTTCCTATGTATCTTTTGTTAGGATCTGTCCACACAAATTTTCTTGGACAAAAAGCGGTTGTATGCCCATATATAGTCATGATGTGAATATATATGGTCATATACCAAGCTAACACATGTCTGTCACAGTCTGTGGGAGGGGGAACCCTCTCTCAACCGCCTCTCCCAGATCGGGCATATGATCACAAGTCCCCCTGTCGGACAACTTAGCCCCTCCTAGAAAATACATCCTAGAGCCGCCACTGTGTAAATCACACCAAGTATAATAAGTCTGAGGACATGTTTCCAGTGGGATCTTTCTGCTGGTGAATTGGGAAGTACACCTGGAGAAAATCCCTTTACTCTTTTCTGAAGAGTGTGCTGCGATCTTTGTGTTAAATGTCTCATCCAAAAGACGATGAGCTATACAGTATTTACTTGCATTTCGCCGCTCCAGCTGAAACATAAGGTGTACAGTGGATGAAGTTGAACCAATGACAAAAGATTTGAAAGGATCTCCATTTTTCACGGTCCTCCGAAAATGTTTTGCTGGCCATTAGCCACAAATCAAACATAGATAAGGAATCTTGTGACATTAGAATAGTAGATCAAACAAAACCCTTGTTTGCCTAAAGTTGTAAAGTTCATTTCTTTTATTTATACTCAAGGTACCTGTTGTAGTCTATTGCTGTAACAGTTATGTTAGTTGTCATCAGTCAGATAAGCTTCGTTTTGGTTTTTGAGTTCAGTTTCCTATGTTGAGTAGAATTGAAGTCTGGGGCAGATTGCTATAAGCGGTCTTTAGACGGTCTTAATGGTTAGCCGGCTATAATCATGACGTCACTACTGGAGGAAAATTGATATTGAACTTTTAGAACGTTCACAAATAAATATGGCCAGATTTATACTTGGGGCACCAAGATAACAAGCAAAGAGGTTTTATATGCAGAATTAGGATGACAAACTCTTGAGGCTATGCAAAACTGCCAGCGTATAAAGTTTGTAAAAGGACTTCGCTGGTCACGTAAAGCACTAGGAGCTATTTTAAATGCTGAAGAAAAAAGTATTAAATGGAGTTGGTTAAAACAAATTAAAGCAATTTTTTCAAACGGTAATTATGATATTGAAAACTTAAATATTGATGATATTAAAAATAGCAATGTCAATGAGTCTTTAAATAAAAAAAACCTAGATAAACACAGCTTATTTAAAAGGGCAATGAACAAACCATCATTAACTACCTGTCTGCAAATTAAATCGTTTCAATGTATTACTTTTCTTTATGGAGGCATAGAGAAATATTTACTTGATAAGATTGATTTTAAAGACTTGTGCCAATGTAAAATTTAAAGCGTGTTCTAACACTTTGCAACTCAATGGCAGAGTATCCAAGTGGAGCGATGACATGGACGAGATATGCCCTTTGTGCAAATCAGAAATCAAAGATTTAAACAATTTTTTATTCACTTGTACAAGCACTGTAATTGATGAGTTAAATTGATGAATTGTATAAAACAAACCACCAAGATATTTGGAACTATATTATTAGTAGTGATTTAAATACAAAAATGAATATGCTACTAGGCAGCGACAATACATATGCAGAATATGAACGAAACGAAACAACCAATAATATTTTTTATATGGCTTGCAAGTCCTTTTTAAAAATAGCATGGAAAGCGAGATGTGAAATTTTAGCGAATGTAACAACATAAAATAATTCTTATCAATTATATATATTTTGTATGTTTTTATCTTTTTTAACTGTTTTTTACAGCGTTTAAGAATTTTAATCTTTTATTTCTGGTGTGCATATTCGTCTTTTTAACAAATAATTCAAATATTTCTCTGCCATAATTTGAAAGTCTATTTCGTGAATACTTACCTGACTAAACCGACTAATTGCCATTGTTCCCAAATGGAACACCCCTTCAAATTAAATGGAACAGTCCGACCTAGGGCGCCACGTATGAACCGTCTCCCTAACGAACGTCCTCATTCCCTTTTCGACGTTCGTTGAAAGTGAACTTAAATAATTGTCATTTTACTGTTTTTCTTGTATTGTTGGCCTACATGTTTATCCTATACTGTGCTTTAGTGTACCGGTACGAATGTACTGTATTGTTTGAATGTTTTTATTGTGAATGCACCACTTGATAGTGTGTGCCACTGATATAAAAGTGTACGATTCAATAAAGTTATTATTATTATTATTACTGGTCTATGATTATAAACCATTGCTATACCGCGGTCTAACCAGTTAGCCGTCTTAAATTTTAAAGCCTACTCGGAGGAGGCTTAAAACAGTCGTAAATAATGTTCATCATGGCGTTTAATTCAACAGTGCAATGGCAAGACCTAGGACTAGATTGTCAAAGTTGGAGAATCAAACGACGAATATTCCGCACGTTTCTCAGCATTTGTAAAAATAGGTCTACGTTTCTTTATGTTCATTTCGATACATTTGAATGCACCAAGCGTGCATGACAAATCGCCCTCAATCTTACGTTACCAGGGAGTGCTTGTTTGCATTTCAGTACTCAAAGCGGTCTTAGGGAAGACTGTTTTATAGCAATGGTCTTTGAGGAATGACTTTAGTAAGACTGTCTAAGTGATAAAGCTGGCTTTATTCGGGGAGTTAAGACTACCAGTTAAGACCATTTTATAGCAGTCCGCCCCTAATTTTATTGATAATTCAGATGTCTAAAATTGTCGCTAAAGATACAATAACTGATAACTTCCTCATTGATTTTCTTACACCAGCTTTACAAAGAGTATCAAATATACTTTTAAAGTACAGTATTTATATCAACTCAGAAATATTGAAACTTTATTTTTCTTCAAAACATACTGTTCATTCATGAATTCATCAAATTGCCTTGTTTGTCACAAAACCTTACAAACATACAATAGTTCAAGGTCATGTGAACTGCATATAAATGGCTTCTACAGACGATCGCACCTCCCCACCCCCTTCCCCCTGTATTGTATTGTATTGTTGATATATTATTTTTATCATTATGAACATAGTACTACTAGGGAGTAAGGTTTTTAAAGTATGAGAGTGCAATTTCTGGGCACCTAGAGGTCCATATCATTGAAGTGGTCTACTGTATATCCTCAAAGTTTTCAAACCTCAGCCCTAACCTTGGTGGGGCTGAGGTGGTGTGAACTCTCACGCACCCCCTACTGTACCAGATGCCAGAGTGTTTCCTACTGTAATCTACGGTTTTTCTATCATTGTTTTTGCTTTGTAAAATTGTATTGACAATTAAATATACTGTTCATAGGATAACTAAAACAATGCTGTTTTTTCTGTGTTCAAAAAAATTAAATCACTTGCAAAACAGTCCAATGCAGCATATGCTAAATTGTGTGACGGAATTTAAAGTTACAAAGTATAAATCTAATTAAAAATTTACAAACCATTATTAAAAATATGGTACAATATTGAATTTTAAAAGCTACATTAGAAAAACATTAAATAAAAAAGACAAACAACGGTATAATACCATAGTTATAAAAGATAATATTCAATATATTTTTTGTAATATTATATTGTACCATACACAAAAAAGGTGATAAAAAATGCAAGTCACTATATACTATGCCTGCCAATATATAGATATATCTATATATATAGTAAGTCAACAGTCTACCAAACAATGGCTGCATGATAAGATAGATGAGTTTGGAAGAAGAATGGGTGAACTTTGATAGCTGGCTCTGAGATGATATATGCCCAAATTTGGGCGCATATTTATACTGTATATACCCTAGTGGTCAAAATCATACAGTATTAAGATGGTAAATTGTTTCATTGCAGTGTAGCTACCGTCTCAGAAGTCACTAATATTGGACTGCACAGTTCTATGTTTACCACAACTGTTACATCGCAGATGAATGATGAGCAAATTTCCAAATGGCTTCCACTTTGTATGAATATACAGTTAATTGGAACATATGCTCAAACAGAACTTGGCCATGGTAGGCGTTTGTATCGAATCATTACACAAAATACATATCACAAATGAAACCAAGGAAACACAGGCCTTCATCAATGTGTTTTGTCTTATATGACAGGCTGGTGCCACTACTGGTCAAAATTTCACCTCATGTTACATTATTTTCCAAGCTTTTACCCCTCACTTAATCGTTGAGGCTCACACATAGCCTTCTGTCTCTTATACACATCTAGATGTGTATAAGAGACAGGTGCTTGTTTGCATTTCCTGAGATTCATGCTTGTTTTCATCATAGGAAAATCATCACTTCTTAACAGTCTTTCACATCCTGAAGTAGGTGACAATGTGTTTTGTCTTATATGACAGGCTGGTGCCACTACTGGTCAAAATTTCACCTCATGTTACATTATTTTCCAAGCTTTTGCCCCTCACTTAATCGTTGAGGCTCACACATAGCCTTTGTTCCAACATCATCCCCTCCCCACATCAATACTGTTATATACAGCTTTGGAATGACACTGTAAAAAACAAAGACTAAATATGTGCATACAGTAGGTGACACTCCTAATTTCACTTCAAAAGCTAATTGGCTTTATCAATGTTTCTTTTAATTCTGAAATTTTCCTGTAAATCACAAAATTCTGAGATTCATGCTTGTTTTCATCATAGGAAAATCATCACTTCTTAACAGTCTTTCACATCCTGAAGTAAAAATCGCCTTAAAATATTAATTTTTCCCGAGCAATATCGTGGAGCGGATCAAAATCGTTGGTAGGCTACAGTTGGCCCGCATGCTGGCGGTTGAATACCAGGGCCATAAATGTGTGGTGGGAAGAACTACATTATACAGTGAACTTAACAATGAATCTAAACCAAATTCTTAAAAATATAATTTTAATAGAAACTATATATACTCTGGCTAAATTGACATGAATGAGTTTAATTTTACTTTAATACTGTACCAAACAGTCTGTATTATATGATACTTCAGCTGTCACTATACTTACAGTATAGTATATTATAGCATCCATGAATATAATCTATAATTATTATAGACTTTGAAAGATGTACCATTCCGAGTTGTTCAGTGTTTCTAGTTCAGTTGTATAACTTTATGTGTGCAATATATGCATGTCCTATCTTGGAGAATTTAGCTACATTTTTTGTGAGATTTTCAGTAGTTATTTATACTATAGTACTGTACAATATTTATCATGTTGTACAGTATTTCTAGCGTATAGATATATTCTGGAGTATTGTGATATTTTATTTTCACATTCTGAATTGTGTTACTCCAAATTTTGGTCAGAGGAGCTGTCATTTTAAAAGATCGCTCATAGGTTTTAAATGAAGTCTTAGCATTTCAGATGTTAATCGTACTCTTGGGTTTTTTAATGTTTTTGTACATGTAATCTGGTTGTTGTTTACAAACTTTTTTTGTTATGGGAAGATCACAACATTTTATTTGCTCATTTTTGGTAAATTCTAACGTATACAAAAGAGGTAGTACAGTAGTAAATTGGGAAAAGCCAATACAAAGTAGTATGTTAGATTAAAAGTAGAAAAAATGCAAAAAAAAAAGGTCCTTTTAACCCAAAATCAGTGCCACAGTCAAAAGATGAATGTTTATTATTAATAACATGGTGATTGATTGATTGATTGATGATTGGTTGCATCACAGATAGTTTGATATTGAGTGATTGATAGATTAAATGTAATTGATTAAATATTTTATATTGGAAATTAATGTATATTTATGGATTTTTTTGTTATTACTGACATTGTTAATTAATTAGTTGTGATTTGATTTATTTTATAATCAGTAATTAATTATTATAAGAGTAGCTCTATTGTTGGTTGGTGCATTGAAATTTCGTATTGATTGATATCTTGATGGGTTTTGATATATTGTTCCTTAGTGTGGTTAATAGATCAGAAGATCCAAATCTTGCCCTTCATGCCAGCATGTACATTCATTCTATTGCCAATCAGATGGACTTCGATCAGCAGTCAGAGTGGCTAGAATCAGCCTTCGATTATACAGTATTGGGCACATATGCTCAAACAGAAATGGGTCATGGTATGTCAACAACCAAACCACCCTAGCAGTAAACTAAAACAAAATATCTACTGTACCTAAATAATAAACAAAATGAAAATATATATACATTCCTAAAAACATATCTTAAAATTGAATGGCATTTTAGTTTAATTTAAAATTTTTAATTTCATGCAGTTTATTCCATTCATTCAGTAATTCATTCATTCATTCAGTAGTTTATCGCTTTAATATTATTTCCATAGTATCAACATTTACTATTCCACATTTATGGTATTATAGTATTTAATGTATAATATATCTATTGAATTTGGCTCTAACTGTTTACCAGCCACTATTTAATGTTCAAACAAACACAGTAACTTTTGATTTTGTACTGTAAATTTGTCTTATATTAACTATTTTTATTCTAAATATATAATTTATTTTTAAAATATGTTCCTATGTTTTAAAATACATATTTTCTATATGTATAATATGATAATGTCTTTATTGCTTCTATTAATATAATTTTATTATCAATAATTTATAATGTAACTAAATAATACAAGTAATAATAACAATTTTGTGTATAATTGTATTAGTAATTTTGTGCTCAAAGGTACATATCTAAGAGGGCTGGAGACAACTGCAACTTTTGATCCTGACACAGATGAGTTTGAGCTTCACAGTCCGACACTGACATCAATCAAATGGTGGCCAGGAAATTGTGAGTATTTAAAATGGGTTTTTATTATTTGTTAAAATTTTTAATCAAAAACTGTTTTGGCAAATAGGTATGCATTAAAATGTTAAACTTTTAATGACATTCATTACATTTTTTTTTCTCTAGTGGGCAAGACAGTAACACATGCAGTTGTTGCTGCGCAGTTGTACACACAGGGAAAATGTTATGGTGTCCACATGTTTATGGTTCCCCTAAGAAGCTTAGAAAACCATGTACCCCTCCCAGGTATGAAAGCTGAAAGTTCATTTTCGTTAACATTGCTGTCATCGTTATCATCTTCACCAACCATCAGCATCGTCATCATCATCTTCATCTTCATCATTGTCATCCTTATCATCACTGTCTTATCAAAATCATATATTGTCATATGTAAAATTTGATCACCTTTGTCAATGTTAACATTACTATAAACACTTTGGTTTCTATTAGGTATCGAGATTGGTGATATTGGGCCAAAGTTTGGCTACAGCAACATTGATAACGGGTTCTTACGATTCAATAAGTATCGCATTCCACGTGAAAATATGTTTATGAAATATTCCAAGGTAAGTGTTCTAACCAAGAATATAGTATGTTTGGAATTTTTATCAGAGGAATGTTTTGACTCAAATATCATAACCTTCCTCCTCAGTCCATAATAGCTAAAGTATTATCAAATATTAATTTTCTCTCATGTTTTTCTTCATTAACCCTTTTCTCAAAATGTCTTCCATATGGTGTGAATTTATTTTTTTTAATTTTTAAAATTGCAATAATAAGTGAGGGTGTGCTAGGTCACAAAATATGGTGATATGAGGTTGTTTTTAACTACTTTTTCTTTTTTTGGGGGGTTGGGGAGGAACATATGTGCTCTCATGCACCCCCTAGGTGAAGAGCAAAGACTTAACTCTGCTTTAAACCAGCTAAAAAGATTATTACTATGGTTTTGTAATCGTTTTCATAGGTCGAGAGAAATGGAACGTACCTAAGCCCACCACGTGCTAAGCTAACCTATGGTAGCATGGTATTAATTCGTAGCTTCATTGTTGGTTCCATGGGAACTACGCTTGCAAAAGGCGCCACCATCAGCATCAGATATAGTTCAGTCCGAAGGCAGTCAGAACTGGAAAAAGGGTAGAGCAACATTCAGTTAATTATCTAGTAATCCTAGAAATAATAGTGAAATATATCCACAATTATTCTTTAGTTTATATGTGTACGTGTGCGGGTGTATGTATGTGTGTGCATATGTGTTGTGGCTGTAGAAGGTCGCCACAGTAGTACAGTAGGTTAGCTAAATATAGATAATAGACTGAACATACATAATAGTGCTAATAGATACAGGAAGATTTTAGCATAATTATTAATAAACTGTACCTATGAATATAAATATGTATGAATGATTATGAGAATATATAAATAATATAATGAATATATAATTATAGCATTACCACACATATTATGATTTATAAATAATTTAATTATATATATTATATATATATATACATATATATATGTGTGTGTGTATATATATATGTGTATATATATATATACTGTATATATATACACATATATACAGTACAGTGTATGGTTTTTGTATTAGAGCACAGGAGCCTCAGGTGCTGGATTTCCAGAGTCAGCAACTGAAGTTGTTGCCGTACCTAGCAATGGCATATGCCTTTATCTTTGCTGGGAAGAAGATGAAGGATATGTACATTCAAAGCTCTGACTCTATCAGCAAAGGAGACTTCAGTGTCATGCCAGAGGTAAGTAGTTGTAACTACACAGTGTAACGATTTCTTTCTGCAGCGAAAGTGTAGCAATTTTATGAAACTAGGCTTTAGACGATTTGTGTAGTATTTGACGAGACGACGTAGATTATCTCTCTCTCTCTCTGGGCCAATACGGCTTATTCAAGCCATGAGCCTTACAACGGTGCGTCCCCAGTTTGCCCTATCATAATCATCATGCGTGAGTGTGTTTAAAGTTTTATCTATGGGTTTCAGATCAGTATTTATTTATAGTTAAGGAAATAAAAAGATTTCAGCTTCCTGCAAACTGTGTCACCGACCATCAGCCGCTGAAAGCCTCTGCCCTCTATGCAAGTGCTTGCTCTATCAACTCTAGTCAATTGATCATTTTTGGCAGTCTTAGCAGATCATTAGGAACTTGAGCAACACGTCATTCATTGGCTGCTGACATTGACATGGTGTGCTCAGGGCTTCAAGCTAAACTGTCTGTGTAAAGCTAGTATTCTAATTTGCTTGTGTTGTATATAAGAGTTTTTAATTACAAATTAAAACTACAAAATTGTTATCATGCCAGTTCATTACCACCTAAATAAATGTATATAATTCTTATAATCTTTGCATGCCATTAAATTTGCTATGACAATTAAGAAATCTGTAGTAAAAGTTTAAATTCATTTGAAAACTGAATTCTTAAAATTGTATCCCATTTTAAGTTGATAACTTCTTATTGTGGAGAGCATTTCAAATTTTTTTAAATTGAATTTTCAAAAACTAATATTAAAAAAATAAACAAAATATTTAACAACACTGTAATTTGTGTTTGTTTAGCTCCATGCAACATCAGCTGGTTTGAAGGCATACACATCTAGTATCTGTAGTGAGGGCCTTGAAATTCAGCGTATGTCATGTGGTGGCCATGGTTACTCTCACGCTAGTGGATTCCCTGAGCTCTATGCAAACAGCACCCCAGCATGCACCTATGAAGGTGAAAACACTGTCATGATGCTGCAGACGGCAAGGTTTCTAAATAATTTTTATTTAATATTTTTGTTTCGTTTTATAATTTTCAATCTTTTATAGAAAATAAAGATATTCTTATTAGAGCAGACATTATAGCGTATTAATTATTGTACTGTTGATGAGTCGTTGGAGAACTTGTAAGCCTACTTGGACTGATGCACATAACATCAATTGCTTCACAACTCAGACAGCGTCGCATTACGCACCCTGACACGATTTACCAACATGGACAGTTTTTATTGCATTGTTAAGCTTGGTTTCCATACAATTGCTACAAGCTATCGCCGAGAGCTTTCAGCAATGCTAATTGGTTAGTCAAATTCTTGATTGTGTTGGGGACTGCAACGCAATACGATTGTACGATCGAAATACGAAATCACTGTAGCGATAGTTTAGCGATTTTAAGGTAACCAGGCTTTAGTATATTAAAAATGTTTAATATTCTGTGACGCGGCTGTCCCCTACCGTGTCTAATTTCAACTCACGTGACAACACATTGCATAGGGCTGCATTGTATGACACTGCCTGACTTGGTCTTAACAGTACAAAAGAGTATTTAAAATTGTAATATGTTTTCATATAGCCGTGTATTTTCATATACTGTAACTGTATTTCTATTGACTATAGGTTTTTGATGAAATGTATGGAAAAGGCTAACAATGGAGAGAAGTTGCATGGAGCATGTTCATACATGTGTGAGAAACTTCCTAGACGAAGCCAAGCCTTTCATCTTGAAGACTTCTTGAACAGTGAATTGCTCATTCAGGCCTACAAACACAGGGCGCACAGGTAAATTGTGTTTTGAGGAAATTGAATTTATTTGGACACTGTGAGTCAATTAGATTTGTAGTCAACTCAAGATAATAGGGGGGTTTCACACGTGAACGCGTACGGTTAGTGTGACGGATACGTCATCATTTTGACGTCATACGCCGACTGTCTCGCTCACTACACGTAAGTGAAAAACGCTTAGGCAAATTGTGGATTTCTAGTAGGGTCTTTGTTTATTTTTTCACATTTTACATACAGGAAGTGTAAAAAATAAATGTATCTTTGAGTACGTACATGCCGTTTTTGTGACATTTGAAGGCAGCAAATTACGATAGGATGCGTCTCATTTTGGGGTATCAAAACGTTGGTGCTTTGACCTTGGTAGTGATGTCGGAATTTTGTGTAAGCTAGACTAGGCCTACTTCTTGTAGCCAGGCACCTTTGGGTCATAAACAATGGGGCCTATCACAAAATAACCAACACTTCTGGGCAACAAAGGAAGCATTTTTCGCTACAATTTTCAATTTCAATTTCCAAAACCTGACATATACTAACAAAACTTTGAGAAGCATGATATTGGATGAAGGAAGAGAACAGAATATAATACTAGGCCTAAACTAAGGCCCTAAAACCTAGGCCTAGGATAGGCTACGCTTGAATTGCGCTGTGATTGCAAAAAAAACACAAAATGGCTACAAACCGTTACGGATAACTAAACATATGCATGAACATATTCGTTTGCGTGAAAAACCTCTCTACTAACTAACCACTAACTACAGCCTTAACATACGGTGCTATCTTAAGCCATTCATCGCTCAGGGTACAGGTGGTAGGACCAAGTCCTCTCTGATAGTTCTTCTACAAGTGTTCTTTACCTTTTCAATCCTTCTTCCTCAGAATGTGTATGGTTGCATCACAGGCAGTGCAAGAGCAAGTCCGTATGGGAAAGCCACAACACGAAGCATGGAACAAGAGTCATTTCCATCTCCTTAAAGCTAGTGAGGTAAGGTTACCAAAACAGTGATGCAATATGATCCTTGTCACAATTTGTAATATTTAGTGACAGGTGTTAAATGTAAATTAGGTATTACCCTTAAATTGGCTGAAAAATGTTATAGTATCATGTTTTGATCTGCTTGCTAAACTGATTATGTAGTTAAATCTTTTGAATAAGCAAATTTTTTTTAGATTTTAATGCACACAGTACTGTATGCTAGTGTAATTCATACTCCAAGTATCGAAACGCATGCCTTCGTATCGGGATTCAATATTTTGACATTAATTATGTCATCATAAAGAATAATGACATAATAAATTTTGAAATATTGAATCCCGACACGATGGCGTAATGTATGCCTTTATCATCTTTATAGAATTTATGTATTCTGTTGTTTTTTTTTTTTACTTTAGGCTCACTGTCACTTGTACATTGTTGATCACTTCTACGAGTATGTACTGGAGTCTAGTGTTCCTGCACCCGTCAAAGACGTTCTTTTGACCTTGTGTCATCTGCATGCGCTTCATGGCATCAGCACTCGGAAGGGAGAGTTTCTACATGTATGTATCTCAATAGAGAGCTTTCAATTGCACGACGACGGTAGGACGTAGAACGTAACGCCATCACTAAAAGTCTCGGCGCATCCGAGAACGTAAAGTTCTTCTCGTCGCATGGATTCTAGCACGCAATTTGGCCAAATCTACGTACGCAGAGAACGTACAGTAGGACGGCTGGTAGGATGGTCATGCATAAGTTATTCTGTTATAGCGTCGTGTCATCGCGCAAATCGAAATCTCCCTATTGCTGTGATTTATCATCCCAAACCAAAATAGTTTGAGATGATAAATAAATAGTTGAAGGTAGCCTTATCATGTCAAAGCTACATAGCTTCATTGTCTCAAAACTCTGAATAGAAATACAAGCTCAGTACTTTGATATTGTAGCCATGACCTAATTTATCCCAAAGATAGCATTTCCTCTATGGGCCAAATCCAGACAGGGCTAGCTAAATAGTCCAACAATGCAAGTGCCAATGTGAACACCGAAAGAAAGTTCAAAGGCACTGTGCATATTATTACATTGCAATGGTCTTAAAGAACTGACCAATTATAGACAGTTTGGTGTGACCGGTACACATTAACATTGTTTGCACAGGTTTTTGATTTAAGTAAATTTTGATTGGGTGTGCTTTTTTTCTAATTTTTCTACATAATGATATATTTTTATACTATATTATAAAGAAAAACTATATAAATTTCATAAGGGTTTCTTTCTGCTATTTTTAAAACTTTCTGTGAATGTAATGTTCTTGCTGTTTGCTCGTGCTTTGTGTATTTTTTTGTATCTTGTTTGTTGTGATGAGGACTCCCCTGAAAATCAGCTTTGTTGAGTTGGACTTCCTCCTAAAATATAAATAATGAATGAAGGAAAGAAAGATGGTAGCCACCCCTGTCAGACCATTGCTCTGTAAAGAAAGTCTTAGTCCATGTTTGATATTAGGTGAAGCTCCAATCCCCCGGATGAAAGAGGTCCTTAACAAAGATCCCAGTATGATAATGGGAATGTTTTGTAATTTATTCCTGTCAGGATGGTTACTTCAGCGGCCATCAGATTGATCTTGTTGAGAAGCAGGTTATCCAGCTGCTGGATAAGGTCAGGCCTAACAGTGTGGCACTTGTTGATGCATTCGACTTCAGCGATCGTGTTCTTGACTCTGTTCTTGGAAGATATGATGGCAATGTCTACGAAAACCTGTACAAGTGGGCAAAGTCTTGCCCGATGAATGAAAAAGAGGTAGGATATGTTATTAATAAAGATATTTAAAGTTACGACAATAATGGTGATGATGATGGTTAGGATTACTGTCGTCTGTGATGATGTCAATGACGACAATGAAATATGTAAAACATTAAATTAAGACAGTGTTACACACCCACCTGAGCACCACCATCAAAGAAGAAAACAGTATGGCCAGAAAAGGCACTCTAAGACTGCAAACATTTTTTTTTATACTAGTATTCCCCAAAGAATTGGCATCTTCTCCGATGTTGGGTCCCAGTTTCTTTGATTGGGGTGCTAGCTTTGTACCCGCAGGACTCTGCTAGTGCTGCCACTGTTTTGCCTAGTGATTGTACTATCAATATACAATATACAAATATTTATGAAAATTTTTAGTTTTTATTTATTTAAATAAATTCAAAATAAAAAAGCCTTTTCATTTTCACATAATTAAATATAAATGTTTTCCTCCTCCTTTTTTTTTAATGAATAGGTTCCAGATGCATATGGGAAGTACATCAGACCATTCCTGATGGAGAACAGATCTAAGTTGTAAGAAACTTCCGATACCAATGGCATATTGATATGCATCATACTGAAGCTTTTCTTGGTTTCCATATACTAATAAGTTTATTGATCAATCAATCAATCGTTAAATATTGTACCAGTGTTCCACAATAAAAATTCTGCTCAGAAAAACTAGAGTGCATCAAATTAAATGACTAAACAGTTAAGATAAACTGGGGAGGAAAGCAAAATAAGTCAAGATGATCTATGAAGTATGGTACAGGTGATAAGACAAAAAATTTGCGTACCCAAAACAGTCATCAAGTATTTGCTCCTTGAAATCAACGGATAAAAAGATGTGATGTAAGCCTTTTTTTTAATGATAATTTGATGGAATGGGGATGATTGTTCCTCAGAATTGGAGCTGCATATTTGATCGTACAGGCGAATGTACATTCCAATATGAATTGGAATGTATCATAGATGTGGTAACGATGCATAGATACAGTGGTGTATCTAGCAGTGCACATGGGGGTGGGGGGAGAGGGTTGGAATAATTACCCCCCAAAAAAAGATTCACCCACCCCAGTCCTTCCCCCATTAAAATGTCCAAACCAAAAATTAGTAGCTAAAAAACACCTTGTATCACCTTGCTTTACGACCTTCTATAGATCCCCCTCCCAACTATACACATCTAGATGTGTATAAGAGACAGTTCATACTCCAAGTATCGACATCTCCCCTCCCCAATTTCAAGACTTCTAGATATGCCACTGCATAGATATGTCATAATGAAATGCATATTAAGAATATAAACAATATGTATATATTTTGAATGTGGTAATACTATGGATAGATAGATATTGCTCTGATATGCATAGATATTATATAAAAAGATATTGTAATTATGTGCAAATGGAAAGTATAGTAGTATATAGTAGTCTCAGATTTATTAGTATCATTTATATAGCCCAAACAAAGTACTTTAATAAGGTATTCTGAAATAATAATTTAATGAAGATTTTCTGAATGTTTGGCTTGTAAGTCATAAGTAATACCAATTTTAATCTTTAAAGTTATACTCTGTGGTGCTAATGAGCCTAAACAATAAAATGCAATTACTATACTTTCTTTGTAAAAAGTAAGTTTCTTAGCATTTTCATTTAAAAATTAGAAATATTTTAGCTAATTAACAGACATACCTTTATTCCTATTTTGTTGCACAAGAAATTAAAATGTAATCAAGTGGTTTTCCGAAAACTGAATGGACCCAGACTTTCTCTGTAAGTTTATATTTATAAGATTCTTTTAAACGAGAAATTTTAATTGAAGTTCACAATTTTAATATAACCATAGTGACCCAGAGTTTCAATCAGAAGTTTACAGTGTCTTTAATTGTAGAAGTCGTTTGGCGCAGCAAGAATGGTTTGGTTTCCCAACCTTGAGGTGGGAGTTTCAATCCCTTGCTGTGCACTTCGCTTGTGTCCTAAAGCAAGGCTTTGTTCGGGCTATGCCACCCAGGAGTATAAATGGGTACCTGAGGAGGTTCAAGTGCTAAAATGCTCTGATATATTTCATGCAGCAAACTACAGAATTTTCCCCATAGGCATCGTTCCAGTGACTGGGGTAATGATGTGGAAAAGCGCTCTGAATCTTTGTTGTGTAGAATGCTATATAAAAGCCTACATATTATTATTATGGTTATTATAAAAAATGTTTTGTGACTGCCTAATAAATTTCTTATATTAGTTATTGAAAGATGGAAGTGGTCTTCAGTTGTTGGGTTTGCATTGATAATGATTCTGAAAGTACATTTGTGTGATATGTCACATTGCTTGAAGTAGTGATACATTCAGTAAGTACAGTCCATAGTTTTGAGCAAACTTTTAATCTGTACAGGTCTACAGGTAGGCCTCAAATTGTATTTTTGTATTGGCTGAGACTATCGGCACTGCCGCAGTGTGAAAAAAAGCTCTAGTTTTCTATCAGCATTGCTGCAGTGCCAAAAAGCTGCTGTTTTCTATCGGCACTGCCACAGTGCGAAAGAAGCACAGATAACAGATAATTATTAAATAAAAAGATGATTGACACTTGAATTTCATGTTGATTTTTAATTTTGCCTGTAGCCTATGACAGTGTGGTGGTGATGATTGTTAATTGCAGTACAATATAATAATGGTTACAAAACAATTTAATTAAACAACATAGAAATGCCAAAATCCTCTGATTCCCTTCTGAGACTGGGTATCTGTTCAAAAAAAAAGTCACAGGTCTTATGCCAACATTTCTTCAGTGTATGTAATTGCATATGCATGATAAGCCTACATAGAAATACTGTACTGTACTGTATACGCAATAACAAATACAAAACACAAACATTTAAATATACCACCTCTTTTCATCATTATTACTTAGTCAAGATTTTTTATCATATTACTTAATGAAGATTAACAATCTTGCTTAACAATAATAGCAACATTGTCATTCTAATACATTACAGTATAATTACAGTAAAATAATACTAAGACTAATTATAATAATATTAATGAATAATAATAATACGGTAATAGCAATGATAACAATAATACAAATATTACAAAAATAACAAAATAATAATAATTATTGTTATTATAGTAATATTAAAAAGAGTGGGAATAGATGTAATTTTAGTATGCAAAAAAGGTATCTGTGCTTAACAAATATACAATACAATAACAACAATATAATACATATAATCATAGTTACCAACCGTCTCGCATCATGCGGGACGGTCTCGCATTTCGAAGTGATTTTGGATGAAACACGCATTTTGCAGAAACACAAGCGTGATCCTAAATTTGTCACGCATTTAACAAAAATCTATGCGTGATAACGATTTATGAGGATAATTTTAACTCGACTGGCTGAATACTGCCTCCATCGGTGTATTTACAGTCGATCTCGTTTTAGTAATGGCGTACAGCAATGATGGAGGTCCTTGGGCTGGTGACAAAGGACGAGATTCTTTTACTTATGATTATGGCCATGGGGGTAGAGTAGGGGGAGGTAATGCAGCAAAGATGAGGAATGACCTTCCGCCTAACAGTAGAATATTTATTGTCTGTGGGAAAAATCAGGATGAAGACTCGCTTAGAAGCCACTTCGATAAGTACGGTGCTATCGAAGATGTGTATGTTGTAAAGGACAGGGTAACAAAGCAAAACAAAGGTACCCAATGCTGAACACTACTGCATGCCTGGCCTAGCCTAACCTAGGCGTAGGACCTAGGAATAGGCCCTAGCCTAGTTATCTAGGGTAGCCTTTTTAGTCTAGGCCTATCTAGTTTATTTGCGCATTCATTGCTCTGTTTGTTTGGGATATGCTCTACATATAGGGTAGATAAGAAGTAGGCCTATATATATACTGTCTCTTATACACATCTAGATGTGTATAAGAGACAGTTACTATATTGAAGTCATTTCACCTCTCAACTCAACACCTTGGATTATTTACCTTAGACGATATTATCTACAGTAATATCATCCAAATAATTACCACAACAAAAAAAGATGGATTAGTACTTTCACTGATGATAGCTTACATTTAATATATTAAAATTGCAGGAGTTGCTTATATCAAGTACTCAAAGGCATCAGAGGCTTGCCTGGCATTAGAAGGCCTAGATGGAAGATCAATTGGCAATGATCCAAGGCCATTAAAGGTTTGTTTTAATTAATTTATAATTTAATAGCTAATTCATAATTGAATTCTGATAATATTACTGCTTTTGTACAATGTTTTGATGTTATAGACAACTATGTATTTTTTACTTTTAAATTTTATTTTTCTTGAAAACTGCAGTAGTAAATGTGTTGCCATTACTGTATTATAAAAGTAATTTTGATGCCTCAACATCTACCTCACATTAACATCATGCAGGATATTGACCCCTGTTGTCAATAGGGAGTCCGAACCAAGGGGCAATTAGAGCCTCGGCCAGGTTCCGGGAATAAAAAATCTGCTAGGGTTGTTCACAGGGAGAGTTTTTATGGCTTGAGTATACCCAAAATTAATATAGACCACATTATAAGGATTGTCTATCAAAGTTATGTTATTTGGATAGACAAACAAGGGGTAGAGGTCTGTACAACAAGGGGAGGGGGAAATTTCCCCCACTGGCCCCATCCACTTAAGTGCTTAAGAGATTTGTGAAATAAATCAGACTGCAACATATAGCCCTGTAATGTTTGATCTCAATTTGGTTTATTAATTTGAAGGTTATGATTGCTAACTCGCGCTATTCCACCACCCATCGTGACATTGACGAACAAGAAGAACTTATGAGGCTCTTCATCATTGTTCCAAAAACCTACACTGAGGAACAAGTGGAGAAGAACTTTGAAAGTAAGATTTTGTGATTGTGTGATGCATAAAATATCTAATCCAATAAAAGTGCGCTCCGTCTTTGGGAAGAGACATTTAAGCTGTTATTCCTGTGTGCAATATGGCCTAGTCATTAAAGAACGCAGTGCACTCTTCGGAAAAGGGTACGGGATTGTCTCCCATTGTAACTGCACTATCACCAGTAGAGGTACCCCACTGGAAATAAGTTTTCGGACTTTGGTAGGTTATCCTTGGGTTATCCACCAAATCAATCTTACTTTACATCAATTCCATCTTTGGATAATAAGGATTGGTTGTCTAAAAATGCTTCAAAAGAAAGTGTGATGTTTCTTTTGAGTGTTTTCAAAAAATGTCTAAAAACATGTTTTTAATTGTTTCACACAATGAGACTTTGTTTATACCGCTCATTATAACAAATCTATAAATAAACATTAACTTACATTACGTAAATTTATATTTTAATTGACTCATTCATCCACAGGTTATGGTGACCTAGACCGTGTTACATTAGTAAAAGACCGACATACTGGTGATCCTAAAGGCTTCGCGTATGACAATGAGACTTTGTTTAAATATGCCGCTCACTATAACAAATCTATAAATAAACATTAAATTACATTACGTAAATTTATATTTTAATTGACTCTCTCATCCACAGGTTATGGTGACATAGACCGTGTTACATTAGTAAAAGACCGACATACTGGTGATCCTAAAGGCTTCGCGTATGTCAAGTTTAGAAAGGCATCAGCGGCGGCCATAGCCATGGAAAACTGTGAAAAAAGTAGGTTTACTTCAAATTCACTGTATTATGAATTGTCTTTTGGACGTCCCCTTGTGATGGGCATCACCATAAACAGGTCTCCCAGAAGTGGCTTCTTCAAACTTGGGACCCCTACCACCATTGTTTATCATACTTTGTTTTTTGGCATGTAAAGAATAAAGATAAGAATAATACTGTATGAGGTACAAGATACAATTTATTTTATACTTTTTTTTACTTTTTGATTTAAGGTTTCAAGGCAATATATGCCCAACCCAAACACTCCAAGGCAGCACCGTCCTCTGCAGGCAGGGATAGCTACTCAATGAGTTCATTTTTTGATGGTGGACGAAGAGGTAAGCTCCAAGTGGCTCACTAACAAGTTAATAATATAACTAGAAATTGAAAATTGCAAGTGAAGTGCTGCGAAGTACAGCTGCATATAAATGTTCTTCGAACAAAATTATATTTATGCGAGTCAAGTGAAAATAATGAATAATAAAAATATAACAAATAATATGAGATACGACCCATTGTATATATCAGAACACTGACGAGCTGACGTAGAAACATACTAACAAACGAGCGTTGGTACCGTGTATGTCAGTCTACAACAAGCGTCGCCTAAATGTAATAATTAGCACGCTGAAATAGGCCAATAAATAAGTTTAACTGGGTTCGTAAATAATATTGGCCTCAAAATATTGTGGCTGAGACATGAGAAATAGGAAACCTAGAAATATAGTAAAAACGCTGAATAGTAATTCTCGAGCGTCGCCACATGCGGACGTTGGTACGTGTAGGTTAGTCTACAAACGTCGCCTAAAGTAATTGATTTTACCCGGCAGAACGAAAGAAGGAAACTCCGCTTTTCATTCGTCTTAGGCCCTTGTTTTTTGACAAACAATGACCTTTCAGATGTCAAATTGCTGTCAAGAATATGAATTGGCTGCTTCGCAGCAACAAATTTTATAAAGGTGGAGCCCTTGTGGCACACATTTTTTTGGGGCGTCCAAGTGCAGGTCTCCCTCTAATTAAAGACCCCTCCAATTAGAGACAACCTCTAATTAAAAACCACTTTTCTGTTGTCCTATATTAACAAATGTCTTTAATCATTTTTATTCTAATTAAGAGACCAAAGCTAATAAAAAACCATGGAAAACAACTGGTCCAAAATGTGGTCTAGGATGGAGACCTGTAGTTACATTTACCTTTAGCTGTTTATATACCTCATAACCAGACAAAGTTGATTATTTTGTTTTTTCTTATGTTTAATGTTGTTTGTGCAAAAATATATCCAGTGTGTACCAATGTATGAATTTCTTTATTTTTAAGAAGACAATAAACATTGAATTAAATTGTGTGATAAATAGCTTGTGAGAAAATTGTTATCTGTATATTGACAAATATCACATTTTATTTGTAATCTTTCTTTATCAACAGATCACTATTCAACTAGCATGGGGTCTTCAAGTGAACCCTATGGCAGCGCCTCCTCTAAGCTCCATGTGTGGGTTGATATATCAGTAACGCAAGATCAGCTGCGACGACTCTTTGATCTCGTTCCTGGCATGGACTACTGTGATCTTAGGCAGGAGACCACTGAAAGGGGAAGGAAAGGTTGGTAAAATGTGTTCTTCTTCCACTTAGGACCCTGTTTAAACATGAAAAAAAAAAGCCCGATTTTATAGGTGCAGTGATATTTGTCTATGCCTGACCTATGTTTTTAAAAGCACATATTTTAAACATTTTTGTCTATAACTAACCTTTACTTTCTCACAGGATTTGCACATGTACGTTATGGTACATCCTCATCAGCTATGTATGCTAAACAGAAGTTGGATGGATTTGAATATCCACCTGGTTGCCCAATGACAGTGAGGCTGGAGGATGAACCAGCCAGAGGATTTCAAAGGTTAGTTATAGGCCTACATGTTAATGTTGACTGAATATAAGATAAAATAGCATAGCAGCAACCACTATTAGTGTTTCATGAAGCTGTTGTTATCAGTATTTTTTTTACAACAGTATGGTATTTTTGTATGTTTTTTTTTGTATTTGTTTGGCAGAATTAGCTTAAGAGGATAATATTTATAATTTGTTTTTGTTTTAGTGGTTATGACTACAGGGGAATGAGTTCACCAGAAGGAATAGTGCGACAAGGATTCGGTGGAGAAGGCTCCCCCACCTGCTCCGTACCTCTTCCTTCAACTCAGCCACTTCTAGCTCATGATTGGTAAGTTTATTCTCATACAAGTTAATAATATAGTAATAATAATATTATATTTGACAATGTAAAGTACAATCTTGCCAGGAGCCAGGGATATGTATAAACTCCTTACTCCCTATCAAATATAATAGATGCAAAAAATGGAAACCTAAACCTACACTACCAAAAAAAAAAGTAACTTTACTAAAATGGATTTAAAATTTCAAATACTGATTTGAAGTTACAATTAGGATTTTCAAAAGTTAACAAAATGAATATAACTTACCATAATTATCATATTAGAAACAAACACAAATTAATTAAGAAAAAATAGAGTTAACAAATTAGTAACTTGAGACATTGTATTTTGCTAGTCAAGCTTTTAAATTAGAAATTGATCTGGATTGTTGAATTTGTATGGTAAATTGTTCCCATAATTTGGAAAAATTGCAAAAGATGAATTAAAAAAAGTATTGGTTTTGACCTTCCACTGTATTAAACGTCCTTCACAGAACAAAATCATTAAAGGAGGAGGGACAGTAGCTATTAATAATTTTAAAACCAAGTGCGAGTCTATTACCTTGAATATATCTTATCTACTTAAAATGCCTAATGCCTTTAATCTGCATGCATATGAGGTATCCCAATTCCCTTCTCTTCTATAAATAATAATTATAGTGGCCTTCCTCTATACCCTCTCCAACCTACTTATGTTAGAATTGTCATTAGGTGTCCACATACAACAACAGTACAGTATGTTGTTATTGCCAACTAAGACCTTGCTTTGCTGCATCTTTACACAAAACCAAGAAATTTATTTGCCTTATTGCATATATAATTGAAATGAGAATGACACGTTAACTTGGTATTTATAAACACACCAAGAAGCTTAGATTCAGTGACTCTTTTAATGTTATCAGATTCAATATTATAATCCCATGAATGAAAATGTTTGCACCTAGTTAGTAATAGTTGTACATATTAGAAGAATTTAATGGCAGTTTATTCACAACTGACCATTCAAAAATTATTCAAATCACTCTGAAGTTTCATACAATCACCGATTTAATGAACAGTCCTTTTAAATAGTGTTGTCATCTGCAATTTGAAAAAAATTATACCATTTTCAAGATCACTAATATGTATCAAAAACAACAAAGGACCAAGAACTGATCCTTGGGGAACACCTTATATTATTTGACTTTGACATTTTTCAATTTTGATTTTATTCTTTAATTCAGCATTACAATTTACAATGAATATAAATAAGAAATGTATCAATTTCCATTTTAATAGTCATTTTATGGATTTATAATTAAATAATTGATTTCAGTGAGGTGACGCAGCGCCTGTTTATAGTTTGCAACCCACGAGGTGTTCCTGATTACATATTGAAAGATGTATTCTGCCGCTTTGGTAACTTGATCGACTGCTACATGTTGCCAGGGCGTAACTACGGATATGCAAAATATGCAAGTAAGAAAATAAATATGTTAATTATTAGAATTACTCACTTTCTCATTAAAGTAATAAATTTTAACAACTTTCAATATTTTGATTACTTACTTTGTATGTTATTAGCTTTTAATCACTAGTTAAAATGAGAAATAAGTTTCCACTTCAAAATACAGGCATATTAAAATATACATATAACAGACCCATTATATATACATACTTATTATGTCTATATATTATATATATGTATCTACTGAATATATACTAGTGTCTAATGGAAATTTATACTACACCAGAGAAAGTTTGTAAAGTGAAATTAGTTGTAAAAGTACTACTGACTCACTTTTTTACTTGTATTTACTGAGTGATATTATTATTATTACTATTATTATTTTTATTATTATTTATTTATTTATTTAGGCACACAATACATGAACAAAGGATTGTCAATAGCTAATATATCACTGTCCTACTTGTAGGTGACAATCCCTTTCACAAGACAGAGTGACACAATGCTTTACACAAACTAAATATCAATATGAGGTTTAGGGAGTGGAATTGTTTTGGTCGTGAGAAAAAATCCTGCAAAACTGATAAGAATTGGACTCGGGACCCTCGGGATTAGAATGCAAGCATCTTAACTACCAAGCTGTTTAACTCCACTCGATAAATTTCTCAACAACTTTATATAATGCCATTTGTATATTCTTTTGGCTCATTGAAATAACTGTATAATGCACCTTATAATTCTACTGATTGATTGATTGAATCTGATCATGTCTAATACACACATCTCAATAGAAAGATTTTTGTATTTTCACTCACAAAAAGACTTATTTCACATACTGAATGATCCAGCTAAACTATGTTTTGTCCTATTATTTTTTTTGTTATTAGACCGTGACTCAGCCTTAGAAGCTGTTAAAATACTTCATGGCCAGGAATTGGCAGGACAGAGGTTAAAGGTTATGGAGGCAGACCCAAATGAAGAACAACGAAAACGCCCTCGTGTTAACTAAAGGTAGGTGGCATAATGCTTTAATTGCTCTTCTTAGATCTAAATGTGTTTTTGTTTTTTTTCTGGTATTTGTAGTTGTTCTGGTTTTTTTGTTATTAGTTTAACCTCAGTATATTTTGTTCTGGGAAAGATTTGCTAAAAAAGGGGGTTTCGTTTTCGCCGCTATGATTTTGATGAAGATAATGTGTAATAATCATATTGCCATTTAGTGATTTAATCTGGTACAGATAGCTGGCTATAACTTATCTTAGGCTTTCAAAAGTAGACTTTTATAGGGGACTTTTAAGTCCCCTATAAAAACTCTTTCAGCAAAAAAAACCCTTTCAGCAAAGTAGAAGCACTTTTTTATGTCATGTGTTCTCCCAAAGCCCAATTGCCCGCATTATTTGCCAGAATTAAAGGCCCCTGACCAAAGTTAAAAATTACTAAGTTTTAAGACCATGGCAAATAATGTAGTTTTTAAAGGAATTGGTAACATGATATGCATCATATTTAAATTAGGAGGCAGAATATTAATAAAATTTGATGGAGATATGATACAAATCCTTTTTTATATTGTATATATATTTTAATTGTTTTATATTTCATTTGTCAGAAATTTAATTATATACAATATTTACTTTTGAATGTTCCGTTTTAAAAGATGCTCCAATTATTTACTGATGATAATGATTTAAATTTGCTTTTTTTTTTAGCTTTATTTAACATCATTTTATATTTTATATATATTTGTGTGTAATATCTGGCTTGTAACCGCATATTTTGTGTGTGAGTTTCAGATTTCTTCTTGTGTCGTTCCTTTTTTCCTGTTCTTGTGGTTATTTACTCTTAATTAAAGCATGGCTAAAATGTAACCAAATAAAATGTATGTACAACTTCTTGAATTTCATTTTTTGAAAGACTTAATTGACAGTTTAATAAATCATTTGCAGTACAGTATTTGTAAAAATTCTAAAATGAAGTTCTGATCAGTTGCTTTCTTTTGTAAGATGATATATTTACAACAAATTTTCATATTAAAAAATTGTTTGTTAGGTTAAAAAGTGAACTGCTTTTACGTCATGTCTTGTCTTTGTATCGCAGAGTCTTGACTGACAAAGACCGACTTGACAAGGAGCGCCGTATACTCACGACTTAACTTCAAAATGACCGATTGAAGGGGATTAAAATGACTAATATCGTCATGACAGACACAGTTTCAACGACAATTTTTTCACACGATGAAGATGAATAATTGATGAGAAGATGTTTATTCACCGGGGGTGACTGACCACATGTCAATACTTGTTAAAGACAAGTGATTTGGACAACTAGAACCCTGAGAGTCAGGGTTTGAAAGTGGACAGGTCGTGGACAACCTAGACAGTGAAGACAAATAGATTTTCGACTACACACTAAACTGGGTGTGTTATAATGACGTTCTTTGCTGACGTACACAGTAGGGATGCTATAAACTCACTCCAGGCCTTAACACTATCAGGTTGTCTGTCAGACAAAAAAGGGTTTGATCAGACCTTTGCTGATAGTATAGCCTTTTGTCCAGACTATCAATTTTTATTTAACATGCCTAAATATGGTCATGATGACATCACATCACAACCATATATAGGCACATCATGACTATATATGGGCATACAACAATTTTTGTCAATCAAATTTCATAGTCTGGACAGAGCTTTGTGATTACACAAACCATGTCTGTTGCCCTACTTGATTAGACATTAACATTAGCTTGATAACATTGTGCTACCTTGATGGTTTATGCTGCACATACCCTATAAGATTGTTGTCTCTCAGACCCACAAACGATGTTTGATCAGAATTGTCTGAAACTCTATCTACACTATCGACGTTTACAGTGGTGGATTCAAGGGGCCCGTCCTTCCCCTTTAAATTTTTTTTTAATGGAGAAAGATTATATTCAAATTTAAGACCGAGAGTGCCATTTCTGGCCATCTACAGTAGGTACCGTAATCATACATTTTCTTACCTCAGCCCCAACCATGGTGGGATGAGGTGGTCTAGGCCCTCTATCTGAAAGTTCCTCCCTGGGCCATTTTATGTCAAATTCCTGGATCTGACACTGGTTTATGTGAATAGCACCTTATTTGCCCATATTATTATATGGGTGTGATATGACTTCATCATGTCTATATATGGATGCAAAATGACATCACCATGCCCATATTAAATGGGCAGTTCACACAAATATGTTACATAAAACTTGATAGGGTGGATAATATTCAAAGAAGTGTTGTATCTCCATGTCTATTGGAAAGTGTTGATCAAACTGGCAAACAAAATTCTAAGTCGTGCCTAGCTTTAAAAATTTGCACCATTTTTTAAGCAGATCTCTTATGAACCTTCAAGCGGTGGCCACACTATCAACGCTGTCTCATTTGCTAATTTATGGGCAAGATGATTTATTGTGTTGACAATTTTAATGTAATTTTGTGTTTGCTTCACTTCTTCTATGCCTTTTGAAAGTAACATTTTTCCTGAAAGCTCTGTGTTGGGCAGATGGACATGACGTAGCACACATTCGCCGCATTTACTGTCGTGTTAAAATACAAGGTCATATCTCATCTCATTTTTAACCATTTCCAGAACACAATGATTATGTTCTGAATTGCTATTATTAATTCAGTTCCATTTTATTGTTCATAATCATTTTTTAATTGCATCACTACTATTACTAAATGTTTTTATATTCTAAAAACAACAAGATGACACTTCTAATGTACACAATGTAATTAACATGTGATTACCAAAAATTCTAATTATATCCTTGTTGCACTAACCATTTCATTCAAATAATAGAAAGGTATGTATTTCTGAAGATAAAGCTTGTCGGAGTAACATTGACGGGTGCAGTTGCAACAGAGTTAAATAGCGACGCACATACAACAAAATGGACGAGTCATATGCGACCTTGTTGCATTCTTTAAATAGCCAATCATGATAAGTATAAATTATATTTAATATTCAAAAAGTAAAATCAAATAAAAAATATACGCTATTAAATTTTGCATACAATAACAGCAAAATCTGTTACGACCTTACCTTAAACATGTCGCTTGCATTTGTAGACAGTTGCCATGTATTATTCAACAGGTTTAAAGGGTATAGTTCGTGATGCAGACTTTTTGTCATCCAAATTTATCATGTTCTTAAAGTATATTTGTAACCACAGTATCGACATGACCGACTTTAAATGTAGAAATATGTATTAAGTGTTTAAATAAATGTTTAACAATCGCAAGCCTTACTATATTTCTCTCTTGTTCTTTTAGCAGGGTAACCCTATACTGAAGTGCACAGGGTTTATTTTTAGTGGCTTTTTAACAAATATTTTGCTATTTTTCTCTCATTTTATTGGCATTGTGTGAATATATCATGGTATTACTGATGATTAAATGTGATTAAAAATATGCAATTAGTTTGTGTTTTTTTTTTGTCGAGCAGTGGTGGCGCTAGCACTTGGCCATTTCTCAATCAAAGGTTCTGAAAACTCCTGACATTGACCAGAGGACTTAAGCAATTTTGGGCAACTTAAAACTGTTTTATGGTGTTACTTCCAAATTTTCATTTTGCTTTAATGGGAAACAGGTTTTCTCATTTGGTCAAAGTTCAGATGAAAGCTTACACCCCTCTGCAGAAAGGTTAAGGTAAACTGGCAAAGGTTGAATATGGAAAGAAAAAACCTGTGATAGGGCTGCACTGCACCGTCATACAGTAAACTCACAATTTATATATTTCATTATCAACAAACCAATGGGAACTTATAATAGTAATGATCATTATTGCATACATTTTCTTATACAGTATAAATAACCATGAAAACTACAAAATTAGCTATTCGTGGGATATGGCAAAGAACAGTATAAAGATATACTGTATCATGATTTAATATTTGAATTTGAAAGGACAGACTTGCTAAATTGAGTATTGCATAGTAAGTTGAAACATGTCTCTGAAAGTGTAGCGAAATTTCACATCTAAAGTATGCATGGAGAGTTCTTATTGCAGTAAATTTAATTCTCTGGCATATACATTATAACATCCAGCACCACCAATGCACCATCTGGTAAAGCAGGATGAATGTGGCAGCATGAGATTGTTCTACTTGAGAGATATCACCAATACTGTGTGGCCATAATATGTAGCATGCTGCGGATGTATTTAAAGCTCCATGAGCCTCATGATGTTGATAAATACTGTAAAACCTCGAATTGAAGCCTGGTGGGCGTAATCCTGAGATGAAGCCCGGACCCCTCTTTGGTTTGCAAAATTAACCTCAAAAAGAAGCGTATGGGTTTCTTTACAAGATAGCATAAGCTTCTTTTCAAGATAGTGCAGTACATAATTTCAACAAAATAAATTAAAAACTAGCTTGGTTTATACAGTAGTTTAAGAACAGAACAGTTCTATTTTCTCTATGGGTAAATTAATACCAGTTAAATATGCTCTATGATACAGGTTGATGTTACAGTGGCCTTATTTATTGTTTATAGTATGAATTCACAAAATTTACAGAATTCATTTTGAAAAGCCCCCTCTTTACTTTGCAAAAGTAAAAGTTGGCAAAAAAGAAGCCCAGGGCTTCAATTTGAGGTTTTAAGGTATTAGACAACCAAAGACAATTTCTCATTTTGGTAAATACAGTATTTATTTGCTTATAGGTACACATTTATGTACAGTACTTATCCATTACAAAGCATTGAATCAATTCAATAAAATAAATGTAAAAAATAATGATCATAAACAAAACATGACATGTTTCCATGCTTGGCATATTTTTAATAGGCTCACTGCATCAGTCTACGCCAGTCTATGGAGGCTCTGACAGATCATTTTCAACATTTTTCTGGGACTGCCACAGATTAGCATCACTTTAAGCATCACTTTAAACAAGTGCTCTCACAAACTGCAGACATATTCATTGCTCATGATTGACCCACAGTGCTAATAAGCCTGTGTTTACTGTATGGGCAGTATGACAAATGCAAGCTTAATACAGGTAATATCTTTTGCTTAGATGTGTTAATACTGATATGTGTATATGTCAAATTCAATTGTTCATTAATAATAACTGTTAATGATTAAATGAATCTGATTACAATAACCCAATAATTATATTGGATTAGATTGGATTTATTCGGTGTAAACACCAAGGATAGCCCACGAAAGTCTAGAAGAGGACTTATTTCCAGTGGGGTCATTCTGGTGGTGATTGGGCAGCACACCGGGAGACAATCCCCTACTCTTTTCCGAAGAGTGTACTGCATTCTTTAATGTGCATAGAATTTTATTTGGTGTAAACACCAACGAAATTCTAAAGTCTGGTGGTGATTGGGCATTACATGGGCCATAAATGCACACAGGACCAACGGCTTAAACGTCTCATCTGAAAGACGGTGCGCTATTGTAACTTATATTTCAGCCCTCCAGCTGAAACACAAGGAGAGGCAGTGATGGGAATTGAACCGGAGACTTAATATACAGGGCTCCCTCCAATTAAAGACCACTTTTGGGACCGGGGTTTTCATGTTCTTTAGCAGCTTTGGTCTTTAATTTAGAATAATAAAAATAAGACATTTGTCAATTTGAGACTACAGAAAAGTGGTCTTTAATTGGAGGTGGTCTTTCATTAGAGGGAGAACTGTTTAATATTTTATGACATAGCTGTTTGCTGGATACATAACAAATTGTAATTCTGAAGAGAAATTTTAATAAATTGAAATAATATAGCATTTTGCTATTTGTGCTCTACACAATAAAATAATGCAAGAGTGTATTTTAATGATATTTTAATATAAGTATACAAGACAACCATCATGTCATAATTAGGTATTTCATTTAAGGGGTCGTTTACAATTGTCAACATTTTTGCAAGTGTATAAACAGTACTCTTATTAGTACTACTTCCCTCCTCTCTGGAAGTCTGCATAAAAAAAAAAAATGTTGATTTTTCAAAACCATTCTCCATTTCTGTGACTTGGTTTTTGTGACTTGGTACATAAAATGTATTATATCCATGGTTGCATATTATAATTGGTCAGAAAAATCTATTATTTTCAAAATTGTGAACAACCCTTAATCAATAGATAGTACAGTACGGTAATTATTCTTAACACTATTGTTAACTTGTACAGTTACTGTATTTTTTTTACCAAAACCAAAACAATTTAACCAAATCAATTTGAGAATGATTTCAGTCTGTTTTATTTTTAAAGTTAATATACATGTTTTATCTGTTAAATAACTAAATGATATCTACAGAAACTCTACAGGAAGCATTTTCACAATCACAAACTTTTAAATGTTCCCGACATGTTGGCAACAATCAGTACCCCTCTGTGCTTATAATTTTGAACTGTGCTATGCAGTCCATCAACCAAGACAAAGGCATGGAACACAGCTTCGCAGTATGCACCGATAACGCGTCTTGTAGAGGACTGTTGATTATGTAATAGCAGCAGTTTGGTTGTGGACTATCGGTGCTAGCATGGTAGGGCACTTGGCGGCATGACTGGATGACATCGTCATCGATCTTGGGCTCTCGAAGAAGAAACGTTCCACCACCGCTCTTTACAAGCTGCCCAAGGTCTTTCTTCGAAGGTGTTGTAAAATTTCCATTGAAATAAAAATGACAGCCATCAAACAATAGTGGGTACTGTGAAAGAATACAGAAATTATTTGGATGGATGGGTAGATTTTTATTTGGTATAAACACCAACAAAAGTCTAAAATCTGGTGGTGATTGGGCATTACATGGGCCATAATGCACACGGCACCAATGCACTATTGTAACTTGCATTTCAGCCCTTCAGCTGAAACACGAGAAGCGAAGGGAATTGAACCGGGGACCTAGAGATCTCCACGATTCAGCGCAGACACAGTGGCTATCACTAGTTTGGCCAACTGAGCTAAGTCACTTTAATTTATATTAATTTTGAAATGATATAAAAGGAAAAAAAGAAACAAGAATTGCCTTTTAATATCATTTGAACAAAATCCACACACTGTTTGAGACTGCATCACATACTATCATTCTGTTGGGGATATACTTTATTACAGATGGCATGCATATAACTATAACATAAACTTAATATTAAGTTTCATTTTTAATACAAGAAGTTGTTTATTTACACAAATTAAATATGGCAACAAAACTATGTAATATGTACGGAATTGGAAAGCAAATTATAGAAAGAGTAATACAGATAATCCACAGTTAAGTACTGTACACAGTATATTATTATGTAAATTTCTAATCTCACCTGTTTGGCAGCATTTAGCCGTGCCATTTTCGGTCCAGGACTCGAAGGCGATGACATTGTTCCAGCGACCTCAAATGACTCCTCATCTACAGCTCTTTGTTCACGTAAACAGCTCTCAACCCCTGAAAAGACATAATACTTTGATACAGGATATATAAATTGGCAGTGAAAGCAATAGGGCACTTGATTATGGCACATCCCGACACCAACCAGTTTTTTTCATTGAAATAATCATGCGATGGCAGAAAACTTGTCAAATAGAACATTTTAGTATAAAAAAGTGTGTGTACTAAGTTAATGGTCTTTATAACCATTTCTGTTATAACATCTCGCTGGTTTTTTTTTTCTTTTGTTTTTTTTTGTAGTTTATTGCAAGCTGATGGTAGTATATTAATAAGGCTTTATTTTTTTTATTACGAAAGGCAAAACTTTTTGAATACCTTGTTTAGCGAAATTATTTTTTAAAGATCATCAGATGAGGGCGAAAAAAAAACATAATAAAATTCTGTTTTCTTATTTTTATCAAAATGATTCTGCCAAAAGCATCTAGGCAGAGTAGAAAATCTTTATTGATGAATGTAAATGAGATTTATAAATGCTCCAAAATTATATAATTAAGGAAGAAACAAACTGTATCTTATTATATATATTGTATCTTATTTTTGGAGATTTCAGTGGATTGGAGGATGTATTAAAAATCTGAAATTTCTATTTTTCAAGACAAGGGAAGTGCTAAATGGCCAAAAATAAAAAAATGTTTAATTTCAAAATCATTGACCGACAGGGGGTTTAAAGAGGTATAAAAAGTTGCGCTTAAAATATGATGAAAGCTTTTATTTGGCACGATGCTCGACCAGTCCCTATAGAACCGTCTGAACATCGCATTCTTATTTGTCAAATAGTTGAGTTCATCGACTTGTATATTTGTTGCAAACGTCTACTCCAGTAGCCCTATATTTAAATACTGCCAAGTTGGTGAAGGGTCAAATAGGAAGTAGATGGAGTATGCAACATAAATTTAATGCTTTGGCAAGGAAATTGTAATAATTCTAAACCTAAATACTTACATTGGAAGGATATAACCCACTTGGCTGAGATCACTCCCTGAAGATACTTGAATGTCCTCAAACAAACTCCCGCTGTACAGGAGGCAATTACATGTGTGATGTCATCAGTGAAATCCTTCACTATGTCAGCATCAAGCATTTTTGCACAGGTTTCTACCAATTTCTTCTGTTCATTATTCAAACCTTTAAGAGAAGCAATATTAAAGAGAATTAAGTGTATGAACACCTTTACACACAAATCAGTAGTAATAATAACTACAATGTAGATGAACAACAGGGTTATGAAACGATCCTATACTACTGTTTATTTGCTGTACACGATACCTTACAGGTGAAATGAATGCCCCTGTGTACATCACACTACTCCAGGCACAGGATCAAACCCCTACACCTATGAAAACAAGCTTCAGTGCACTTGCAACGTATGTCTTAAAAAAAATATTATGGATATGCATTCAAGCTATAATTTCTGTATGCTAAATCCCAACTAAGTTATTGAATCTTGAAAAGTGAACCACAATCTTACCAGTGCAAATAAACACATATGCATCATTCTTGCTAGGGGATATTGGCTTCACAACATGACCAGTTCTTTCTTCGAGGGGAAGAACTTTAGTTTTCAAAGCCAACTTCATTGCCTTTGTTCTAGCCATATCAGATGGAGTTAAACCAAACATATTTCTGAAAATGCAAATGAAAACATCTAAAGCTGGGAACTACTGTACTGCATTGTACGAATGCAATGCCGCTCCCCGTGAGCGTTATGACGACGCAACACCATCTGCTGGATGTACGTAGCAATCTGAACGAATTGTCATTAAAAAACTGTTGCAGGCGTTGTGTTCTCCCTAGAATCACATCAGCAGACGGCCATCGGCTGCAGTGAGCTTATCATTGGCCGAGACTTTTTTTTATACTTGTTTAGTGAACCCTCTGACAGCAAACATAGGTGATTTCGAATAAAAATAAAATTTTATTTTTTTTAATTTTTATTTTATTTAAATTTTTAAAAATTTATTTTTATTATGCCATGAAATCTCCAAAAATAAGATGTATTGTACTGTATATACTTAAATATACAGTAAATAAATATATAAATAAATAAATAAATTTAAAGCATATATCTCATTACCACAATGTTTACATTCATTGATCATATTTTATTTTTTATTTTCTGCTTGGCCTAGATGCTTTTGGCAAAATCATTTTGCAAATAAGGTGAGACTATTTTCATTCTTTATTCGCGTACTTATTTTTTTGAAGATCATCGGAGAAGGGTGGAATAAAAATAAAAAAATAAAATTTTGTTTTCTTATTTAGCAAATAGTTTTGCCAAAAACACCCAGATGGAGGAGAAAATAAAAATAAAATTTCATTGGTGAATGAAAAATCGGATGGTCAAATGCTTCACATTTATATAATTTCATATCTTCTCTTCAGAGATTTCAAGGCAGCGGAGGGCGTAATAAAAATAAAGAAAAACTTTAATTTTTTCAGAAAATTACATTTTTCGTGGCGGCAGGTGTGCTAATGGGCCAAAAATAAAATTTTAATTTTATTTGAAATCATCAATATTTGCATTCGGCGGGTTCGCTAAACAAGGTATAAAAAAGTCTCGCCTAAGAAAAGAAATTTCTTTTTTCCCACCCACTATGATGACCTTTAAAAAAGAAATTTTTTTTACCGCCCCCCCCCCTCCCCCTACTCTGATGACCTTTAAAAAACACAAGTTTGCTAAACAAGGTATTAAAAAAGTCTTGCCTTAGGAAGTTTTTGATGACATAATATGACAGTGATATTACATTTTATTATTTTTCAATAATAAAATGTAATATCACTGTCATATTATGTCAGTGATATTACATTTTATTATTTTTCAATAAAATTGAGACTTTTCAAACACATCCTAAAAGAATAAAGTCTTATACCAGCAAATCTAGCAATACAAATTTCACCAAAACACAAAGGTTAGGATAGTCTAAAAAATAGGCTCCCAGTGGGAGCATGTGACTGCTACTTGACATAGTTTTTTTTTTACTACTCATCCATGCTTTCTGTGTTGGCAATTCACTTGAAAAACTGTACAGGTAACAAAGACTGTTGACTTTTTAGTTTTTTCTAGGACAGGTCTTATCTAGCATGGCATCATACTTTGTAAACTTACTTTTCATTTTTATCTTTAGTTTATGACCCATCCCATCATTCTCCACCAGATTTACTCTTATAATGTCATTAGCCATATGATAGCAAAGTGTTGTAGAAGCAGTTTGGCGCAGCAGGAACGGTTTGGTTTCCTAACTTCGAGGTCAGGGTTTCAATCCCTCTCTGTGCATTTAGCTTGTGTTCTTGAGCAAGGCACTTTATCTGCACTGTTTCTCTCCACCCAGGAGTATAAATGGGTACCTGGTATACAGGGTTACCTGCTCCTGCACTGATTACCAGCATCAACACTTAGCATGTGGACCCAATGAAAAGGGGAAAAAACTGTGCCTCAAGAAAGAGGCACATTATAAATTCCTATACCAGTACCAGAGTATACTTACCCCCAAAGGGGCAGTAAACACAAACAGACCCTATTCATTGCTCTCAAGAATGATGTAAAAAGGGTGAACCTCCTCAGTGTCAAGTTAGGAGGTACAGTTCACCATTTTTTATAGCATTGCCCTCAAGAATGATATGAAAAAGGTGAACCTCCTTAAACTTGACACTGTAAATCTGGGACAGCATATTAAACTAGGCAGCCAACGGGGAAAACTTGGCAAAGTTGAACAGCATGCATACAACCTTATATATGTATTATTTACAAAATATATTTTTACAACTAGTGAACTGCATACAATACATAAAAATGTATGTACAGTAAAATTTCAAAAGCAGTTTATTAAATGAATGCACTATATTCTACTCTTATTCTACTATACTGTATAAGAATTTTAATCAATCCTATATTAATTATACACTTCTTATACTCTACATGACACAAACTAACAAATTTAATTAAAGTTAAAGTAACTGCAAATAAAAATATATTTAATGTCATAATACAACCAACTCATAACTTTAATTTTCATATTTTTCTTAAATATCTTTTAACAAAAATGAGTTCTTACCGTGCCAGAAGGTTAGCTCCATGTTTTACAAGTATCCTGACAACATCCAGTCTATTATTGGTCAATGCATCATGTAGCGGTGAATCATTCTCAAAGCCTGGAGCATCTATAAGAGCTCCGTGGTCAAGGAGTAGCGAAACAACAGTAGCATGGCCATGATTGGCTGCTTCATGCTGAAATACATAAATCAATCAATGAGAATGTTTCTTCTTTGATTAATAACCATAAAAAAATGATTATTATATATTATGTATTAAGCCTGAAAACGTGTCGAAGAGCCAAGCAGTTAGGCCATGGGTGCTGCAACATACAGCCATTAATATTGCCTACAGTTATGATGGTGGAACAAATCTTCTCGGATAAGGACTATAAACCATAGGCTTAGTGTACACAATTGGCTTATGTGCACTTTATTTAAACAACCGGGTACAACTTTTGAGATGAGTAGGAGTTACCCTGGTCTACTGGACCATACAGCAGCCTGTTACCCTGCGGTTATGATTCCCTAGAATATTTGCAGGATGTACGTTCGTAAACAAATTATAAACAGATATACATCATATGTGTAATTATTCTTGGTGTGTTTCAGACAAACAATTTACAATATATCCAAATCCAGAAGAATATTATTAAAATTATTAATGAATTTTAAAAATATAAAAAATAATATGAATGATACAATCTTGTTGTATTGTTAGGTAAGTACCTGGCTACATTAGGGATGTAGTTATGGTGTGCAGAGGTGGATGGGGCCACCCAGCCCTGAAATTTGACACCTAGCTAATTTATTAACTCCTTGCCCATCCCCAAAAAATTCACTCTTATTATTTAAAGTTCATCAGTGTTATCACCCACCCACCCTTAAAATGTATACCACCCATCCCTATTTTCTACAGCTATGACCCTGCTGTTTTAACATTTCATTTATTTATATTTATAATTTATTAAAACATATTGTTACAAACCAGAGGCCTCCAACCAGCATAATCTCTGACATTGGGATCAGCTCCCTGTGTTAGTAATGTCTCCACTTCTTGAATGTCTCCCTGAGGATTAGAAGAGTACCAGGCAATTCAATATTACGGTAGCTTCACAATTACCAAAAATTTATCGTAGCAACATCAGATAAAAACAATTAGCGACAAATATTGCTACCACAAAATGTATCATTTAGTAGCTATAACAATTGATATGAGTGTTAAGGATTTAAATGTTTGAAACTGCAGTTAGACATAAAATACCAACACAAAAATAGTAGAATTAAAATAATGTACAACCCCTAGATTTTCACAATTTTTATAATGAGGTTGAAAAAAGGTATCTGCAAATTACCAACAATACAGAGAAAAAAATCTACCTTTATGACAGCAATATGTAATGGTGTTTCGCCTTTCTTGTTTCTCTTCATTAGTTGATCTACTGGGGCTACCCTTGGACAGTGTGATCTCCTTCTGCTTAGCACCAATGACTGACCTCCCTCCATGGATGACCGCTTTCTTTTTGAAGCATCTCTTTTCTCAGAAATTGGTGTACTTTTTGTAAGGCAATCTCCTTGTCTGGTCTTGCCTGAGTCAATGCTCTCAATAGGTCTTTCAAGGCACCGGTTCCCCTGTCTAGCTTTACTGGTACCAGGGCTTTCATTTGCCATCTTTAGGCTAGAATTACAATACTCAGTGGCACCTGGAAGACGCTGGATGTCAACTAATTTTTTATTCCTTTTAGGTTTGTTTTCGCTCGATGATGTTGATGATCTTGTCCGCAATCTAGTTTTGTTGGTATTAAGACTGACACTATCCTCTGGCATTTGAGAAGTTTTTTCTGTCATGTCATGAGTTACTGAATCAACACACATCTCTGAATTAGCCATCATACTTGCTTTTGAAACTGGTCTACCTGCATCTTTCATATTTTCATCTATGTCTGAAACTTGATCAAGTGCATTTATAAGGTTTAATTCATTTTCTAAACATCTGAAAGAAACCCTTCTTATGCTTTTTCTTTTTGATCCACCATCATTATTCTTTGTTAAGTCTTTCAAAGGCATCATTCCCCATTCTGCATTTGAACTATCAAGCTTTCTCTTTCTCAGCTCAGCTGACATTGGATGTTTTTTAAAAGGAGGACAATAGTCATCCGAAGTAGAAAAGAAGCTGCTGATCTCCATCTGTTTCTTCAGGACATCTAGATTCTCCTTAAGGAGTGCAGTATCTCTTGGACACCGCAGCCTTTTTGTCTGAAGCTTTGTGGTTTTCTTTTTGCTGCTATTCTTACGCCATGGCAGTGAGTACTTAGCTGTTGTCCTTTTGTCAGTTTTCTGTTGCACCTCACTGTTATTGTCTTGGGTGTTCGAGGAGGATACGCTTTCAGATATTATTACTTGACACTTATCAACATATGGTGATCTACTGATATCACATGCCGTTGATCGATCATCCTCCTTCTCTTTCACCTCTGTGCTTTGATCTATAATACTTGGATATGTTTGAAAGTCTTTGCTTTTCTCATCTTCACTTGATGTCTTTGTGACATCGTCAGATATTGGATCATCAGTATCTTGGAATAAGTCATCTTCAGCATTTTCTAAGGAAAAAGTATTTCCATATTGAATATGTTTAAACACATCGACAATACATTAAAAGTAAAGAATACAGTTAACAAAATGAAAGAAAAACAAGAATTAAACACTGATATTTCTATAACAAGAATAAAAAATATAGTTAAATGGTAAGAATTTGTGGTGAAAGAATTAAGACTGCAAGACATACCACTAGTACTAATGATTTAAATTTCAATAAAATTAACAGAATATTTATAAAGTGTAAACTGTCAATAAATCATTAGAACATAAGTCTTACAAAGCAAGTTTTTCCTTAACAATTATTTTTTTTAATTTAGTCTGCGTAGTGAGATGTAGGATATTTGGTTGGAACGCATGTATTTTAAAGATGATTAGCGAGGGTGCACTCCACTTAAATTGAATATTAGAATGAGATAATACTTTTCTCACTTATTATTAGATACCGGATATAAAATAATACTTTACTTGGTCTACACCCTTCAACTCGTTGACCAACAATAGAATCCAATATGTTTCTCATTGGATGTTAATAACATTCTTTTAATTAAAATGAGCAATTAAATCTTTTAGAAAGTTTGCAGGTTGTTTTTTAAATTGTATCACAGACGATATACCTTGAATATAAGAACAATGGGTTTAATTTTGAGAATAAGCCCATCTCAAATTGAAGCCCCATCTTTAGTTTGCAAAAGTAGCTTCAAAAAGAAGCCCATCTCAAAAAGAAGACCATGGGTTTCTTTTCAAGATAGTACAGTACATACACTGTACAGGAATTTAAAAGAAACAAAATAATGTTGTATGAAATGTATACTGAAAAAAAGAAAATAAAGGCGGGTTGCTCCCACGAAAGAGAGAAAAAAAGAAACAAAATAAATTTAAAACATGCTTGGTTTATCAATAGTTCAGGGGCGCAGATTGCTATAAAACGCTCTTAATTGGTAGTTTTAAAGCCCCATTCCCGGCAAAATTTCAATTTTTAAGATAAATCTAATTTTTGTATAATGTTATAAAGATTTATAAATATAATACGGAATTGCTAGTTTAACTGAATTTAGACATTCCTAAGAATGAAAAAAATGTAAAATAAGACTGAAATTTGATTTTTTGTGTTCCACACAAAAAATAAATGCGGATAAACAAACATATCTCAGCCTAACCGAACGACCGCATTGTGCGAGATGCGAAGTACAAAAAGTAATCACATTAGAGAGGGCGCACTTTATTGACTGTATAAAGTATACATAAAAGCGAGAGTATTCCAGTGGATGCGATCTACAACCTCTGAATTTGCCTAGTAACGATGAATTCGTCGAGAAAATGGTAATATTTTATGAGAAATAGTCTGTATTTCTCATTTTTTTATTCTTTTGCGTAAAACTAAAATTCATGCCAATATTTTTCCATGATTTATAATAATTGGAGTAATGCAAATGCATATTTTCTAAAAAAAGTCATTTTTAGTGAAATTTTGCCGGGAATGGGGCTTTAACAGATTGATGTTGCAATGGCCCTATTAATGTTTTATTATTACATTAATTCCAAAAAAATTACAACATTCATTTTTAAAATCCCCCTCTTTACTTTGGAAAAGTAGGCTCGAATAGAAACCTATCTCTCAAAAAGAAGTCAATATCAAAAAGAAGCTCATCCAAAGTTTGCAAAAAAAACAAAGAAACCCAGAGCCTCTATTCGAGGTTTAAATCAAAGAGCTAGTACAGTAATTCAGCATACATTAATATCTAATCAATTACATGTCATTCATTTCCAACTCAATCAGAGATTACGACAAAATTAAAATCTACCTGTATTTGTAATTTCGTTGACACTTGTAGGCTGCTGCTTTACTAATCGTTGTAACCGCTGATACATCTGAACCACCACTGTTAGTTCACGGTTCGGCAAGAGGTCTTTCACCCACGCAGGCGAACCGCATTCTGGACAATTGTTTCCTAGGTGATTCAGGATGCAGCACCTGTAATTCATCACAAATTACAATAGTATGATCAAGAGCATTGGCAGATAGCTGTCTATCAGCTGCTGAGCACCCTCATTAGTGGCGTATACAGGACACTTAAAATGGGGAGCTGATGGGGGCGCAAAGGTGGATTGGGGGTTTGACGATTAAGAAATGGGGGGGCGGCATTAGGTTGCAATGTAAGGTGATTTTTAACTTCTTGAGCATGACTTTTTGGCTTTGGACATTTTCATTGGGGGTGTGCAAACATCCCAAGCATGCCCTAGATATGCCACTGATCTTCATCCAGATTCTGCTTTAACGAGAGCAGAAGTAGAAGAGGATGAACTGCTGCAATTGGTCAGCGAAAGCTGAAGATGACTGACAAATTTAATTACATTCTACTGGCTCTGCATTTAACCCTACAATTGAAGAAAATAATCGTCCCAGGGCATTTATTGTTGATAAGGTTTAAATAATTACAAAATTACCACTTCCACCTAGAATTAGTCTTACCATATACAGTATGAACATTTTTAAGTAAATGTTTACATACATGTCATATATTTTTTTTCCATACGACCCAATTTCTCCTAGGATCAATGGTGCCTAAACCACACAATAGGTAAGGAAACCCTCCCCCACTGCACGGCGCAGTGTATGGGCAATTTCATATTCATTTATTGAATGTCAAAAGGTCTTTGATACAGCAGGTACCATAGTTTCTTCAGTTCAGAAAATGTAACACGCCAATTCTCTACACCGGCTGTGAGCCCCAGCAGTTTTTGTTCTTAAATACCTTTGATAGAACTAAAAAATGACGAAGAAAATTTCATCCAATTAGATTAATTTTTATAAATAACTGATTACAAGAAAATTTTCTTTCTGTTGCCGCTTCAACCTAAAAGATCTGATTAGCGTAAGCAAAGTTACGACGATGTAAAGAAACAACTCCTCAAAAGACAGCTCAAATCCCACTGAAAATGCACTAATATTGCCTATATTTTCGTAATTCAACCCAAATATGACAGAGCGAATTATTTGAAATAAACTATTTTGTAAATTGTTTGCAATAGCTATATTTATAGTGTTTTATAAACTATTTCAACCTACAGTAAATTATCCAACCTCTAGTTTTTAAGTTACGGTTTTTGTAGTAAAAACAGTCCATGCTTTTGAAGAAGTTCTAATGGTTAAAGATAGGGCGATTTTCACATCAGCGCGTTTGCAGTAAAATGGACCAAATAGATTGATATGTTCATATTTCATCTGGATTGTATGAAGTGAATGTCCCGATTATAAATCGTTTTTTTTATTTATAAGTACTGCATTGTTGTGTTATGTACTACAGTATTATTTATGTTATGAACTATTGTAAACCAATTCAGTTCCAACAGGGGGGTAACTTTACTAATAATTTATTTACAGACACCATTTATATTGGCAGCACTCAAGAGGTGTGTCAATCAAAACTTAAATGACAATTTAACTTTAACACAAAATCTATTGAAAAAAAAGAACCGGCGAAAACCAAATGTAGGCGACATTTGGTTTTCTATCTTATGTTTATTTTTTATTCACTTGATCTTGAAAATGTGTCCATGATGGACATGAAACGTCAATCTTTTTTGTCAATAAACTTTATTTAATAAAGTTACCCTATATAGTAAACGACTGTTGATTGAAAACAATTGAACTAGAAAAATACAAAATATGAAACAGCTTAGGACTACAGTACTTGTATATATAATGATAATAATAATAATATTAACGTCTTAATACAAGAAAGTAGCCCCTTTGCGCTTTACATCCAAAAAAAAAAAAAAAAAAAAAAGAAACATAACCATGAAATATCCTAATACTACAAAGAGAACTAATAACGAAAAAATGGCATAAGAATCATTTTCACTGCTCCGTTCTCCAGTACTTTGAAGCCCCTAAAGTTAGGGGCTCGCTGGAACAATATTCACAGGAGCTCTAGTGAAAATGATATCTAGCTAGCCTATCCAGCAATTTACTAGTATATTTCTTGTTGACTGAGCAATAAGGTCAGTGTCTTAGAAGTCAACATCACAGGTGAATGCACAGAGGTTTTTTTATCATTTGGGAACAGAGTTCGAAAGCAATAAAAGATTCATCCAATTAGCATTCATATATTAAATCAAGGTGGTATAAAATATTGTACCACCTTGATATAAACATGCTCGTCTTTCTTATCCACACTCCACTCTCATTCTTAGCAGGAACCTTATACAAGTCTTTTCAGAAACTGTCAACAGTGACTTAATCCTGAATTACTCAGTTGGATACACAAATTGCATGTACTGTACTAAACCTTGAAGTAATTGTTTTGAGATTATTTGTGAAATAAACACTGGAACAAAAAGGTAAAAATTCTTGGTAAGCATTATTGATCTCTTTAGAAAAGATTTTATTTTATTGTTATAATTAAAAGTAACCACAACCTCTTGTTAGGTTTTTTTTAGTATTTTTTTAAAAATGAAGCTACTTAAATTGCAACACAAAATTCCCATAGCCTTCTGCTATTAATATTGATAATAATAACAATAGTCAACTTATATATTGTAGGGAATATTGTGGAGACCTCTATGTGCTTAACATTATCCCCGGTCATTGGATTAAGCACATACTCAGGTCCCTGTGGAAGAACTATTATTTTATTTATTAATTTCATTTCATTTCATTTCACCACCAATTGCCAATAACAAACAGGGAGCATACAGTATATTAAATACAATATAAAATCACTATAAAAAATCACTATAAAAGACAATCTGATTAAATGATTTTCAATAGTTAAAATGTGGTACTGTATACAAGGAAAATTATAATAAAAATTCAAATAATTAAAAGACAATTCCAGGGCCGGGTGTGTATGGTCAGATTACTACAGTTTAACTTGAGCTACTGTAAATATGAACAAGAAATGCTCATTTAATGCTGCACAGTGAAGCGTACTGTAATCTCATCACGGTGTCATTTTGTGTGAAGTACTGTAAGAGTTTGAAACCTATCAGACTTACCAACCTTTGGTTATCGTGGTAAACAATTTACTACAACAGCAACATGAAAAATATTACAATTTCACCTAAATTAGAAATTTCCTCTGGTAATTATGATAGTAATTTAGCATAAACTTTTTGATTAGTCAAATCTTAATTATGAAAATGAGCAATTAAGCATATTCAGACACGTACCAAAAAGCAATAGACTGTGTTCTAACTACCATCTTGCAATTCTATCAAGTTTTAAGCCAGACTTACCAAACTTTAGATACATGGTAACAGGCCTAACTTACTACAATGGTTAGTGAAATATTAATTATTCAAATGAACACTTAGCATATTCACAAACGTAACAAAAACAATAGTGTACATGCTCCATTTTCTTATTAGAATTTTGCATTGTGCAAAGTTTGAAACCAATCAGACTTACTACTGTAAGCTCTAGTTATTGAAGTAACTAGGCTAAATTAGTGAAATATTAATTTATGCTAATGAGGAATTTGAATTAGCATATTCACACTCGTACAGTACCAAAAAACCATAGGCTCCTTATTTATGTTTAATTTTTTTTTTTTTTGTTTCCTTCAAATTCATGTATAGTGAATGTACTGTACTATCTCGAATAAAAGCCAATGCTATCTTGAAAAGAAGCCCATGGGCTTCTTTTCAAGGCTACTTTTGCCAAAGAGGGTGGCTTCAATTCCAGATAGGCTTCTTCTTGAGATGAAGCCCATTGGGCTTCAATTCAAGGTTTCATGGTATTATCGTTTGTAATATTCTGTATCATTTGGCTTGACCTGGTAAACTGATTTATTAACCACATTCGTCTCTAATTAAAGACCACCTCCAATTAAAGCCAGGCTCAGCCCGGAGGAAAAACCAATTTGTAATATGTTGTACAACTGCTTTTTCTAAGACACAAAAAGCATATTTGATGAAAAACTCGGAAGCGGTTTATGAGATATAGATTTATGAATAACTGGGGGAAAGGGGGTATAACCAACCGTTTCCCCCACTTTAAAAAAAAATCTGTATCTCAATTTTTGTCAAATATGGTTTTTTTGTCTTAGAAAAATGAGATATCAACATTTTTTTCCTCTCCGGAGCCTGACTTTAAATACCACCTTTCTGTAAATCAATAGTGAATTGTTAGTTACAATCCGCCTCATCTTAAGTTAATAAGTTTTTGATGTTTTGAATGACTAATGTAAATATAAGTTACTTGCTATGTTCTCACACGGCTGCTAATTCCGGATCCGGATCCCGGATCCGGATCCTGCTAACCGTTAGCTGCCGTGCGTCCATCCGAGAAAATCAGGATCCGGATGCCAAAAATATTATGATCGAATCACTGGCCAATAAGAAACTGGAAATTATAAACGCGTGCGTGTGATTGGTTGATGATAGAAACACGCTCAACTTGCTAACCTATAGCGCTTGCTAACCATTAGTGGTATCCGAATACTGCTAACGGTTGGTGCTAATCGATCGGGCGTTCTCACGCAGGTGCAAACGCTTAGCTCCCGATCTGGATACTAGGGCTCTCGTGAGAACCAGGCTACTGAAATTTATGGCACATTATATTTTTTTTTCTTTTCAGATGCAGTAGCTAAAACGTTTGATTCCAAACTTGAGCACAGATAATAAACAAACATGGATTTTATGCTATCCATTGGTACTATCGGTTTACTTTGGATTGCAATTGTATGGGTACTGCGAATGTTTCATGTTTCAAACATAAACGAGAAACATGTACTTATCACAGGCTGCGATACAGGTTTTGGAAACATGCTAGCCAAGCGACTGGACAAAAGAGGCTTTGCGGTGATTGCAGCCTGCTTACATAAACAAAGCCTTGAAGAACTTACTTCATCTTGTTCAAAGCGTCTTTGCGCAGTACAGATGGACATTCGTGAGAAAGAAGACATACAGAGAACATTTGAGCTCGTAAAACAACGATTACCACCAGGCAGAGGTGAGGCGAGCTTTGTTATTCAACATATTCTTTTAAAGATCACCAGAGGAGGGCGGGAAAAAAATTTAAATAAAAATATGTTTTCTTATATAGCAAATAGTTTTGCCAAAAACATCCAGATGTAAGAGAAATCAAAAAAAAAATTTTATTGGTGAATGTAAACAGTGTAGTAATGGGATGGTTAAAATTCTTTAAATTTATATAATTAGGAAGAAATATACACCTTATTTTTGAGGTTTTCAAGGCAGGGGAGGACGTAATAAAAATTTTTTTTAAATTGGCCCAAAATAAAATTTTAATCAAAATCATCATTATTTGCAGGCTGCATGTTCGCTATTAAACAGGTATAAAAAAGACACGCCTATTGTAAGCAACTAAAGTTTAATTTTCCAGGCAGATTTTACGCCTTTACGCCTGCACCTGGAACCTAGGCCACCTACTGTAACAATTAGAGCCATCTGAAACTTACAAAATTAAATATGAAAATAAACTGAAAGACCATCTACATGTAATATAACAAGATAAAATGTACACCATATTAATCCTGTCTAGTCTAGGCTACTACCACTGAGGCTGCAGCAAAACATGGTCACTTAATGTACTGACCAGTGGCGGCTCCAGAAATTGCCAGACGAGTGTCCAAGATTCCTGACACTTGTTCAACTTCACCTCAGCCCCAACAAGTTTGGAGCAAATTTAAATAGGCAGATTGGGCATCTATCCAGGGTCCCGCGACAGCGTACCTGTGCCTCCCTGGACCCCCGCCAAAGTTTTACCAAAATATAAGTGCTTATAACATAATATCTACAAACAATCGAGCAAAGAAAAAATATTTCAATTACTATTAAAATGATGCTTGAAAATGGATTTAAATGTTGTCAGACAAGTCATAAAAACCTTTTTTCTATTGAAGGATTGTGGGCATTAGTAAACAATGCTGGAGTTGCAGGAGCCTATGTACCGTTTGATTGGATGAACCAGGAAGAATGGAATCGAGTTCTGCAGGTCAATTTCTTTGGCCTGGTCAACATGACCACAATATTTGCACCACTGATCAAGAAAGAGAAAGGAAGGGTAGTTAATGTTAGCAGCATCACTGGCAGAATAGCAATCAGTGGTTGTGGATATAGCACTAGCAAGTTTGCTGTGGAAGGGTTTACAGATTGCTTGAGGTAGCCTACTGTACAGATTATTACAGGGTCAAATCCAGGGGGGAGGGGTAAGGTGGGGTGCGAAAAATGAGAATGCGGAAATAAATCCCAGAATGTAAAACTAGATCCCTATTCCTATCAGCCTATGAGATCCAGAAATAGATTTTCATTTAAATAATAATTATATTGTTAGAAATGTTTTTATTTACGTTTATATAATATTATTAACCACAGAAAAAAAAAATTATATTCATAATCATATAAAAACAGTAAATCAGTGAAGCGGTAACACTGTCAATGAATAATTTAGCACCATCCTACTTTAAGAAACAGGTCACATGAATTGTAAACCAAAGACTGTATATAAAAAAAGAAGTTTTTCCTATCATGTTGCTGAAATCTGGAATAGCCTAAAACAGTATAGAGTGGAATTGAATAGCTGTGGTTAAGATGCTTGCCTGCTATGTTCAAAAAAGCTCTCAAGACGCATCTGCTGTCGGCTGCTTTTTCCTATCTCCGGTTTGTTTTGCTTGCTTGCTTAATTGTTTTAGTTAGATATTCCCAATACTTGAGTACCTGTGAGTAATGAATAGACGGGCCCCTGTGCCTTAAATTGCCTGTAAACGGTGCGGTGATGGTGTGGTGTTTCTTTTCTTGTAGATTTAGGTTCATGGTAATTTTTTGTTCCTTCCTGTAGCGCCTTGAGCACTACTGCAGTGGATTTGTGCACTTTATAAATCTTATTATTATTAAGCCCAGGGTCCTGGGTTTAATTTCTGTGACAGCAGGACTTTTTCTCACGACTATAAAGAACTCCACTGCAAAGCCTCATGAAGAAACCTTGCTGATAAAAGCATGAAATTATTTCACACTGTATATTTAAAGAGGGCCTCTGAATGTCAGCCAACCTTTGAGGATATGCTGGAAGGGTCACCCTCTATAAAAAAAAAAAAATCAATCATTTTGCAACAACTATTCCTACCACTTACAGTATCCCTTTAAAAGACTAAATAAACGATAGGATTAAATATTTTAAATATTATTATTATTTATATCATTTACCATATATAGCGCCTTTCTTCTTGCAAAAATGACCTTGTGAAAATAAAGTTGTTACTATTATTATTACAGTATTAAAAAAATTATCTTATATTACCGAATTTCCCTAGCATCAACACCCCCCACACCAGTTCTCAATAACGCCCAAACAGCCACTTAAATTTAATTTCAACATCCCTAAATAAGTCACTGGCCAGCTGCCCCACCACCATAAACCCCTCCAACTCCAAAAAAAAAAACACCAAAAAAATAAAAATGAAAGCACAAACTTGGAGTAAATAGAAGATTACATGCATATAACAAAAGTTAACTTTTTTAAACTTCTCTAAAGTGCTCAATGTATTTTGCTACTTTATTATTTTTCTTCTCCAGAGTCCAACTTCGCAACTTCGGTGTGACGACCTGTTTAATAGAACCCGGCTTTTTCAAAACCAAACTGATGGATGGCATAGCAGCACAACGGGAATATATTTGGCAGAATTTACCAGATAATATCAAGGCAGAGTATGGCCAGCAATATTATGAGAAAAGTAAATGAACAAATCAATCAGTCAATAATATAATTGGGACTTGCCATGTTAAAACCAGCATCAGAGGGAAAAACATGAAAACTGACTTTTTAGTAGATGCCACATTTTAGAATTTAAAAGGATGGGTACAGTTGAACTTGCCTAAAGTCAAACTGAAAATGCCATTGAAATATTGTTAGATAAAATTCAACTTAGAGATTGTCAACAGAAAACACACAAATTTGGCATGTACTGTGAAATTAGATCGACTTAGGCCTAGTCGACGCAGGCAAGATCGATTTTACTATTGGCAAAGTTTTGAGTAAAGTACAGTATTAGAGCTTCTCTGTATTAAATTATACAATACTACCACACTAATTACTCAGTTCAACAATTAGCAAGAGTATGCTGGTTTTTTGGGATGGCAGGTCTCATATTTTTAACAAATGCTTTAACAATGTCTTCAAGAAAATGAAGTGTTCACAACAATTAAAAATTTATGAGGTTAAATGTTAAAAGACAAACTTAACAGCTTTAAGAGAATTAATTCATAGAGTATCTTTAAGAGATTTAATTCATAGAGTATCTTTAAGAGAATTAAGTCATAAAGTATTTGTTTACTAAACATAGAATGGAGTGGAGTTTTATATCTTAATGGTTTAGGATGCTTGCCTTCTAATTTCAAGGTCGTGGGTTCAATTCTGTGACAGGAGGGCATTTTCTTACAACTCCCTAAAGCCTGTTTTCAACCGCGCGATTCAAAAACGTTGGTTCGCTTCCTCAGCTCTGATTGGCTGCGCATTTTGTTTGCCTCGCAAAAAGTAGAAACAGTTCGAACTACCATAAAATAAAATACCATAAAACTTTTGATTATACTGTATTTGTCACTCATATACTAAAACAGTAATCCATCATAAAGTTTATTCTAAGATAATGACCCACTAAACCTAAACCATTGGGGTTACTTGGAAATTCCAAGTCTACACACAATAGACCTATATTTTATAGACAAATCAACATGTTTGCTTTCAGGTTAATGCCTTTGTAACATGGAAAATGTCTATAACAGATATTTAAAAAACAATGCATGAGTTATTGCCAATGCAGGAAGCATAGATGAGTTATTCAGGGTTTATTCAACCCAATGGTCACAGGGATTTAATCAGAATTCATTTTTAGTAAGAATCCCCCCAGCAAACATTGAAGGTATTACTTTATACATGTTTACAGTACAGTGTACCATCTAATGACCAGATACATTTTAAAAATGTAACTGCTTTGTTTTGTTGCAGCGGTGAAAAGTGTGCAAGCATCTACAGACCGTATTAAGGAAGAAAGATCTTCAATGGTGGTGGATGCCATGGAACATTCTGTTAGCTGCTGGTGGCCAAAGTCCCGCTATGTGGTAGGGTGGGAGGCCTGGTTTTTCTTCAGAATCCTCTCTTTCTTTCCAGCTGGTCTCACTGACATAATCATGATTATATTATTTAGTCAACCAGCTCCAGCTCCAAGTAGAAAAGGGTGATTAAAACACTGCAGTATTAAACCCTTTTTTTTTTAAATAAAAAAAAACACTTAAACACAGTTTTTGTCCGTTTGATTACACTTAGGTAAATTAGCCTACTGTCCAAAGGTGGATAGAGGGTGGGTGGGGCAGTTGGCTCAGAGTTCTCCCAAAGCCGCCTTACATGTACTGTAACTGTCAATTTTAACAGGCCAACCGGTAAAAGGTGTGTCGGTTTTTAGAAAAAACTTCCACTGATTACGCCTACGCTGGACCTCTTTCAATATGAACGAAATTTCATTCCAGTCTAAGCATATACTGTACAGTATGTACAGTAAATTGTTTTTTTTTCCCCCAAGTCTTTCAACCCTATCCATAAAAGCTACAGTAACACCTCGCTTGCACACTCGAGATCGCCGGTCGACCGTTCAGATTTTTTTTTTTTTAAAGTAATACGTGAAAAATGATAGGCCTGAAACTGCAGTCCCTATTATGAAGACCCTAGGACTTAGGCCAGGGTTGGTATCTCGTAGGCACCACAATAGAACGATGGCAAGCTTGCCAAGCAAACAATATTCAATGTAATGACAGAGTAAATACTAACCAAGTGTATATTGAAATAAATTTAACAAAAATAAATCAGTTTAAGATTCTTTTATTTGGCTTTGAAACGTAAAATATGTGTATCCGATCCACATGATCACGCACGGGCAGGTCTAGCAAAACCAAACTGTGGCTATAAAAAATGTCCAAACAAGCGCCCTCTATGTAATACAATCAAAGTAAACTTCGAGAAAAAAAAAAAGAGAAAAATATTTCATTTATGGTTGGCCTTAAACTGTAATGGAGCTTAAAATGTCTAGCTAGGTACCAGTTTTAAAGCGATGGCTGGACCTAAGACTTTTTATTTATGTCCAGTATACCGTAAGGTAATAATGAATACGATTTTTGATTCAAGCAACCACTAGCTTAGTTGTACAGTAGTAAAACATAGGTTAGGCCTAGTAGATCTGGTTGTAGCTTGACAGCTCAGCACAAGAGATCCGATGTTGTGTGCATACAGTATATCGCCATCGCACTCGTTTCTCAAAATTATGCTATCTATTTTACTGATTTTACGCGTGCATCTATGGCTCGATTTTGATAAAAAATACATGTCTGTTTTAGATTTTATGTTCTAAATGCTAATTTCGGAAGTGTATTTCTCGAATTTGTACTTTTTGTATTTTTTTGTACTGGGTACCTCCTTGGTACTCTAAGCGTGGAAAATGTTGTTACAATGTTGTAAAAATAATTTTTTTTTTTAAATGTTTGTCTTGATGCTTTCATTGTAATGTATTGTATGTAAGTTATGGGATTTATGTTTATTTATTTATTTGAACATACACCTTTGAATCGGTGGCACTCAATAGAAAATTGGTGCGTTCTACAAACAAAAACAAAAAAAGGGAAAATTTAACAAACAAAATAAATAACAATCGACTGTAAATAATATTACAAGAAAGGTAGAAAAATAACATATGAAATTAGATGTGTGTATGTTTTGTTAAGGGTCTATCATTTGTTATCATAATGCAGAGGAAAACGTATACTGTATCGGTGTTGTCCTGGTTATGAGTCCAGCAAAAGAATCGAATTCAAACTACTACTTACAGTCTGCAAATCTCTCTCAGATGTATGCCCAGCGTACATATCTAAATCATCAACAAACGTACAAATTTGCGATCAACTCGATCGGCCTCCACAGTACTGTACATCTGCTGCAGCTCAACTTTGGAATATCCTGCCTCCTTCCATTTAAAAAAATCCACTCTGAGACAGTTTAAGGCGGCAAGCCTTAAAACCTGTCTGTTCGTCTGAGTTTATTATGAGCTGGGCAGGGTTTGGTAGATTTGCACTTATTTCATTTTAATATTGTTATCCTTTATTACCATTGAGAATTTATTACCTTATTACCCACGAGAACAAGCCAAAAATACTATTTTCCATTAGGCGTCATCTCCACCGATTTACGAATGACAGAAACATGTTTGAGAATGACATCATTCCGAATGCGTTTGAGAAATCCACCTACCTCATTATATTCTCATTGAATATTCATTAGCTTGGATAGAGAAGGGCGGTTCTTGACCGAGGTTCGACAGAAACGCGTCCAAACGTGCTTAGTCGCGTTTGAACGTTCAAGTATTTGAAAAATTTCTGGCTTCTGGCTAGGACTTGGATTGACGATTTTTACTCAACATGAATAGCCCTAGGCTTCGTATTTACAGTCAAAAATTAATAGCCATAGATTCAACATTGTTTAGCGCATAGGCGTAACAAAATCTGGTTAATGTGCTTCAATGAAAAAAAACTGACTGTCTTGTTATGCTGCTGATTCAAGTGTCGCACGTGTGTGAAGAAAGTGTGAGGTAGGCCTAAGCCGCCACTAGCTTGTCAAGGCAAGGCCCTTGGTGTGTGTTGCCTAGGCTACTACTACACAAATGTCATACGTTTAGCTGGCGGACTAATGCGGCTAGGATGTATCAGGAATACACACCATCCTAATTTTACAAAAATAGGCTTATAATCAGTTACCAAAGCCATGGCATTAAAATTTTAACACAGTGATAAAGGTACAACAAACTTTAAATCATATGTAGCAACAGGTCAAAGGTCAACACTAAATGCTAGCCCTAGCCAGGCCCTAGCGAATTGACTATCATACAGTAAGTTTAACATGTTATTACAATATTTTAAAGTCAATACGTATGTTTATAAGAGTACAGTACTGTATAATTGTATTATGATGTTTATAATAATTGGACATTCAGTGAATACATACAAAAATACAGAATGTTTTATACACTTGCTGCCGAAACTGCACCGTACTTAGTACTTCATCAGATCACCATGTTTGAATGGGCCCAACAAGATCGTGTAGGCAAATCATTTTAGCCCATGGCTGTCGTTTGTACTTACTGATATTTGATGTACTGTACTAACATAAATATATTTCATGATCATTTTATATAAGATTCTTAAACACCTTATGTTTAAGTATTGGAACGCAATAATGAATCAGAATGAAAATGGGCCTGATATTCCACACTAGGCCTGCTGATGGACCCAATCGTCTCGTGCTGTGGTTGGCCTGATTGTCTGTCACAACAACGGAAAAGGACTGAAAAGAGATAGGCTTAAGATTGGGCGCAATGTGTGGTTTTATGAATCACAAAACGATTATCGTGCACTCCCGTAAGTTGTGTTAAACATCAACAATCGTATCTTAAATTACAGTCAGGCACAAACGCATCTAAACATCTAATCAGTCAACCATTTAACAGGGGTGGAGCAATGAGCTAACAGCCTCAAACATGAATAAACGGGCAATAAACGCACCCTGGCTTACGCTATTTCTGGGAGCATTAAGATAGCTTGTGGGAATACAATAGAAAACGCGTCAGAATGCGATTCTGTCGTTTCGAAAATCAGTGGAGATGACACCTTGGGCTTGGACCTAGATTTCTAACCTCAATAATTTTGCACTCTGTTTTCCAAACTAGGCCTATATGTTGCTCCACAAATTATAGCGATTTAATCAGTCAAATCGGAAGAACTATCGTAGCAAACAGCAAATTTAGAAATACTGTTACTGGTGACCCAATTTGCAATGTAACATTTTAAATTTGTAGTACCAAAAGCAAGGGTACACTAACTTCCTCAGGTCAAGATGCCCTGTATGAGCATCTAGCTGCTTATTATTTTCAAAAAATGTCAAATTGGTAAGGGGGACACCCCCTCCCTCGGCTTGTACAGCAACGCTCAGGTGGTATACCTCTTGCCCTTCAAATTTATTCAATGATCAATTTTGGCCCCTATTGCGATATAGTTGAGAACCCCTGCCTAAAGTACAATACTGGGTGGTATATCTCAAGATCTATTGTTCACATGCTGTACAATATCAACTTGTTATAAACTTTTATTCTCGAATTAGGCTGAAACTCGACACCGTTACACACAATTTTTATCAACTAAAATTCCATGGGTAGTTTTCTAGAGGCAAAGTTATATTGAAAAAAGAGAAACACAAACTTACTTGCAGAAGAGGTGGTCACAAACACCAAGTGAGCATGGTTCTTTTAGCAGTCTGGAACTGTTGAACAAAGAATATATATTGTAAAAGAGGGCTGCAAATTCAATTTTCGCTTGGTAGCACTGCAGAAATTTTATGGCACCCCACGAAAAAATTGGTAGCTCAAGTAAATTTTTTAGTAGCACATATTTCCCCATCATTTTCACACCCCTAAGATAAGTATGCCGCCATTTTTTATCCTTTATATCGCCTCCCCCCCCCCCCCACAACTTTCCCCAGCCTATGCCCATGGATTATTATGCCAGAAAGAATAAATGAAGGAAAAAAGAAATTTTAATAATAAAAAAAAGACAAGAAAGAATAAAAAATGAAAAGAAAAGGAAAGAAAATGAAGGAGTAAAAAGGTAGAAAGGAAATGAAAAGAAACTAAAAGAAAGGAAAGTATCAAAAATGAAATAAGAAAAAGGAAAATGATGAAAAAAATATTTAAAAGAAAATAGATATTGAAGGGATAATAAAAGGAAAAGGTACAAGAAAGGTAAAAAATTTGACTCAGACTAGTTTTCTTTTCTTCTTCATATTTTAAAATAATGTTGAAAAATTTAGGGGATTCAGCCTAATTACAGTATATTTTGCTGCACGTGAGTGATATTCACAACCAATCACCAGAGGGCAGCGGAACTGCTATTGTAAACTTATTTTAATTGCGCAGAGAATACCCTAAAAAATCGGCTCAAATGTGCACGGAAAATCGCTAAGAACAGGTGCGCGGAATCATAATTGGTGCATAATTGCATATTTGTCAAGATTGGTTAGGCCACGTAAAAAAAATTGTTAGATTATAATTCCCGTCCGCGTCAAAAATTTGAGAAATATTGATGCAGAAATAATTTTTTTTTCCCACATTATTGATTTCAACTGCATAAAAAAACAATGCAATTTTGTGACTGAAAATACATTTTCTTTCAAAAATAATAAAATAAACCAGTTTTTATACGATAGTTACAATATTCTTTCCCAATAAGAACAGTCCCTCCCTCATCAATAACAAAAAAACCAATAAATATTCTATTGTTCCAATTAAAAACAAAAAACTGCCTGCCCTCATCACTTTTTTTTAAAGTTTGATCTAATAATTTTTTGTATTTGCCCTTATTTTCAAAAATGCGTGGACTGATTTATTGGCCAAATTTTTGCTCAATTGCAGGATATAGGCCTAGGTATTCCCTGAACAGGCCTTACTACACACTACACAGTCTGGCTGGGGCGGTCCTACTAAATACCACACGGAACCACTCGCGACCACACGGGACCGCTCGCGACCACACGGGTGCAAAAATGATAAAAATATTACCACACGAGAGTAGAAAACTACTTAATAATCAATAGAAACCAACTTTTAGTACGGTAATTATCCAAAATATGGTAAAATTGATTTTTTTACAGGTTTTTCCGCCGTGCTTCGGAAGGTAATGCGGTGACATTGAGGTTCTGTAACGCATTCACGTCTCCAGAAACGCGTTCAACCTTGACCTCTGCAACATTCACTACGTACACAGTACGTTACATTTCATCCTGCGTGTATGCCTATTGTATGTATAGGCCTATTATTCTACAATAACTGTATTTATTACTGTATCTGCTTTGTATTTTTTATACTTATGTGTTTTTGACTCTTATTATTTTAATTTTAATTTTTTTTTTATTTGTATTGATCCTGTAGTTATGTTATGTTTTAGCCCAGAGACAAATCTAGTTAACTTCTTATGAATAATGTTTTTAAAGATGGTATTGTGAGTTGTTTTTTATGAAAATAAATAAATAAATGGCAGTAGTACCGCTTTTTGTGTTTCAATGTTTTTGTTTTTTTTGTTTTTTTTTGGTGATCCGCTACACTAGCGGATCACCTCTTGTTATTGTCAGGATCATCATCATCTTCTTTTTTTTCTTATTCTTCTTTCTTTCTCCCCTTTTCTGTTCGCACGATATCTCAAAAAAATGCCACGAGTTACGCACAATCCTGTCAGCAAACATTTGGCTTGGTCTGGAATAGTCATGGTAAGCTTTTCAACGCGCTCATTCATGCGTGACGTCATCTACGTGCAATTTTGCGTTTTTACATTATCGATCATATCAGCCTAAGCAATTGCCATTTCGAAATAGTATTAAGTGAGCATTAACTTCGGGTTAATGTTGAATGTACTGTACCATAATTTTACGCGTGCACTTAATAACGCGCGCGCACGCGTGCGTCAAAATTTCAAAATGCTCGAAATCACTTTTTGACTAAATTAAAGCACGTCTTAGGCCATTTTGAGCATTTCAAATTTTTTTGAAATTTTCCACTACGCGCGCACATTCTTACGTGGGCAGCACGTACGGAAGCTAGAAATTACGTTATTTTACATATTTTGGGTTCCTGACATTGTTTTCACAAATTTCCATTCTTTTTGGTCATCTTTTGGCCAATAGCAATACCGTACGTGCGTATCAAACATAGGTATCTTTGCGCGTATTTTGCCGCTATACAGTGAAATTATGCTAAAATCAGACCTATTTTTAATCAGTTATAGCTCCTTAGGTTAAAAGGTGACCCCCAATTTT